CCCCCTCCCTTCGGGCTAGGTTTTCCAGGTTGCTCGTGGCCCACACCATTCCGACCCTGGTCGATCAGATCGCCTCTTGAACCCTGGTTGGAAATTTAATGGAACCCTTGCGGCAGACCATGCCATGCCATGCACAGGGGGTCCCTGCCACTCTGGAGCTGGTCACGATGACCAGGTTTAGGTGGAGAGGAAAGAGGTGAAGGACCAAAAAGAAAGAAAAAACATGCTGCCCACCCACACTATGAGCGCTGTGACCCGAATGGCTACAGTTTTTGGTCGCCAGGGTTTGCGGATCTGGGGTGTACCTGGACAGAACGTCAAATGCTAGGTGCCCCGACAGGAATCCAATCGGTTTGGTCCAGTGGGTTGCGATGGCTCCCTCGCGGTGCTCGGTCGCAAACGCTAGCCTGCTACTCTAGCCGCGCCAGGCTTGACAAGGTCAGGCATCCGATAGTAGGTAGTCCGAGAATTGGGAGCGCGCGCGCGCGAGTCTGCCGGCGGGGAGCACGAGCGCCAGCCCGCCCAGGAGAGCCCAGAGAATGGGGTGGGCCGGCACACACGCACACGCAAACGCCCACCCCCCAAGTACTGTACCACCACAGGCCCCAGTCCACATACACACACACACCACCACCACCACCACTACACCATCAGACCACATTTTACCTCACACGCCCCTTCCCGACTGTCCTGGAATCCCAGCAAGAAGAGGAGCACGACCCCCAACATGTTCCCTGCCCACCGTCGAGGTCTGGTCTGCCCCAAGAGGTAGGTATACGTGCTACAGTATATGCAAGGCACGTAGGTCAAGTACCAGGCCGGCTAGGACGCACCACTCCCCTCCCCAAATTCTATTCTATTTTGGTTCGGTTTCGGTATTTCTGGGATCTTTGTTTGATTTTATCACCTTGCCGACTCTGTCGTTTTATTTTCCTTCTCCTCCCTTAACCATGACGATCACCGCAAACAGAATAGCCCAATTGCCGCCGCCTGCTGAAGTAGGTAGGCCGTTCGCTTGATGGGCCCCGTTCGGGTGCCGGCCCTTCTCCACGCCCTCTCTTCGTGACATGGGCCTGTCCCTACCTGGTTACCAGTACCCAGCAGCGGACCGGGCGAACGAACAGACAGGTTGGACGACACCATTCCATGATCTTCTGCCGTTGATTACTACTATTTTTATTTTTTATTTTTCTGTTTTCCCTCTCCATTTCGTATTCCCCTTGCGTTCTCATGTTTTTAATCGACTGCCAACTCGGCTCTCTAGCAAGTCCCATCCTTACCTCCCTCGTTCTCGTTTAGCCAAATCGGGGACTTTTGTCGAGGTAAAAAAAAAACAACAACAAGCTCCCAAGGGGCGTTTCTTTTCCACAAACGCCGAACAAGGCAACTGTCGGCATCAGATGGCAGATGGTTCCGCACCGGGGCCATCCTTCCCGCCAATTTGGATCTAAAAAGCAAGGCCCCATGCTTTTTGGGCTAACTGCTGTTTGGGGTATCCCGTTCCCGTCTCCCATCTTGGTCCGGTCGTCTTGCTCTCCAAACAGGGGACTCCCTCGTCGGTAACCTTGGGTGCCGTGCTATCTCCTTCCCGCACCTCAAATTCTATTCTGCTTGTATCCTCCTGCCCACATACGCACGCCCTTGGCCGTCGTTTGTGTCGCCGGTCCCGCCCAACGACGCCGGTTGTCTTGTCCTCCCATCCGCCACATCGAGGATATATAATTTGGGCACTCGCTCCCCCTCTCGCCCACTTCTCGTTATCCCCATCACCACCACCACCACCACCACCGCACCAGCCTTACTCAACAAGGTTCACTACCACCTCGGCTCTCGGTCAACTCTCCAAGCTCCGTCTTCCGCATCCCGAAGCGGTCTCCAACCACAACTCCGCCGTCGACACCACCGACCACTAGCTCCAAGCTGCTCAGCCAACCCAAAACATCGTCGCATTCTCAAGCGCCTTCAAGATGGTTCAGGTCCGGCACATTATCACGCTCCCCAAGCTTGCTCGGCCGATGCCGGTGCCCCTTCCCATGCCTCCTATGGTGTGCACCGGCAGCGTTGGGCCCAGCCTTCCTTCCCGCCCCTCCTTCTCACCTCCGAGCGGCACGCAGCACATGCCGGGTGTAAGTGGAATCATCCCATGTCCCCACCCCCCCTGTCCGCTGTCCCCCAAACTGCACAAACGGGCATAGCCTCCTGCGTCATGCTCTCGCGAACTAACATTGATGCTTCCAGCTCCCTGGCGTGCGCTGTCCCACCTGTGCCTCCAAAGGCAACGAGGTCTGGGTCATCCCAGGACGCGCCTGTGGCTACTGCGGCACTCCGTGCTGCTAATCAAGCTCTCCAGCCAGCATCGACGCTTAGCAGGCAGCTAAGCCACTATCTTTCCCTCCTACCAGCTGTACATCATTCCCTACATTAGTCATTTTCATGTCATCGGGTAACCGCGGGGTCTTAATTGCATTTTCCTCTTCTTTGTTCACTCCATTACTGGCTCACACGGGTTCCGGAACGGGAAAAAAAACTCAAAACTATCAAGGGGGACAGGCTCAAACGGCAGGCTGGGTGCAAACGGAGGCGTCTCATACAGCGGCTATGCATAATCATTATTTCATCCCAACTTTCTCTTTTTGTCGTTTCTTTTGTCGGCTGGTGGGTTCAACGGAACGTTTCCTCAAACACATGACTACCTAGATTGGCTCAGACTTCACTACCACTTTCTTGTCACTCTCTCCCTGCGGCGTTGATGGCAAGACATAGGCTGTCAGACCTGGGTCCCGCGAGCGGCCCCTGACTTTGACAGCAATAATGCACGCAAGACTTCTCGCCACTCGCTCAACAAAACGACAACTTAAGGACCGACTCTCGTCTTTGCCGGGTGCCTAATATGTGACGGGCCGAGCTGATGCGGCCCAAACCATGTACCTAGTCAAGAAAGTGGGGAAGGCTGCAGGCGGCACTGGCTAGCCCTGCGGTTGACAGTCAGCCTCGTGCCGCAACTGGGCCTGGGGCTGGGATGGCAGGTTGACAAGGGGGCACAAAGCTAACACTAGCTTGGGAGTCGAACAGAACGGGAGTTGGACAGTCCACAGGGCCAGAACGTAAATAAAAAAGTAACATATAATAGAACAAGGCATTAAGAGTAACACCTTTGCCCATTATACAAGAGCCGGGACTGCAAGGCCCCGGCCAACTCTCCATGCGCAAAATGTCCCCCAGGTGCTGGCACCAGGGCCCCGTCAGGCTCCGAGGCGTCCTTGGATCCACCGACGGGAAGAAAGATAGAGCCCAACCGAGATGCGCGCTCCCGCGGATGCGGCGCGTGTGCTAATTGCCAACGACACCCCATCGCGGCGGCATGTGTGAGCGTTAATGTAATCACGTATGGGTTGTGGTGGCACCTCGACACAGCAGAAGCGGTGTTACACCCGACTCGCCTGGGGCGCTTTAGAAAGCGACTGGAAAGAAACAGAAGCAAGGAAACCGTGGAGGAAGAAGGAAGAAGAAAAAAAACCACACAAACAGCTGGGACACGTGAGCAAAGGGTGGTGGATGGATTGCGTCCGGGCCGCGGTCATCGCCGGTCGCCGATCAAATGTGACGGGAACAAGAGGGTTTGGAGGAGGAGGTTCGACACGGAAACACTGGTGTTTTGACGTGGGACTGGAGACTCCCTGGCCGAGAATCGAAGCGGTCTCCGCCGCCTGCCATTTCAGAAGCGTTTTGGAAGTGGTGACCACGGAACGCGCTGGGAATCCCTCAATCCCTCGATCCGCCTCTTGCTCCACCTTGCTCGCTCAGCCATGCCGTCCCATTTGGGCATGATATCACATTTTCCTTCCTTCTTCTTGCCCTCACTTTCATTTTCCCCGAACACAGCCCCGGCTGCAAGGCAACGCAGCAGCCAGGGGGAACCCATCTTGCAATTGCTTTGTTGCGTCCACGGCGGGTGGAACGACTTGGTGCTAACACAAGGCGTAATTCCAATAGTTCGGTTGCTAGCTCCCCCGTAATACAGCCCGGGCGCGCGGCAGCCTTCAGGGGACCTTCGGCGGAGCGGAGACGGGGCTGACGGCCGCGGCGTGGCCAGTCGGGCGTTCTTGATCCTCTCCTGCGCGGGCGGTCGCTGACGCAGGAGCAAGCCCGGGTGCTTGGGAGTGTGCCCCCTCCAAGACACGATTCCATTCCTGGCATGACAACCTACAGGGAGAAACAAAATCCAGAACAGACTGGGAGCCGGCACTTAGCATGCCATCCGCCACACATACGCACACCCCACCCCCCCCCCCTGGCAGAGGCGGGCAGCCAGTCAAAGTCAAGCGAACGACCATGGAGTGGTGGCGGTCCCAGAGAGACTCCCGAGCTTAGTGGCTCCCAGCATGCATGAGGCCTCAGCCATGTGACACGCGAAGGTGCGGGATGCTACGTCGCCCGCTTTCTGACGCTGAAGCTGGTCTCTCGGACCCCTGCCAACACCCCTGCTTCGTCCTTCTCCCTTGAACGCGATTGGAAAAGCGAAGAGGGAAGCCGCCCATCAGACGTGCAGACGGGGACCTCGGCGTCGGCATTTTCCCAACCCGCCCGGCGAGCCGCGTGGAGGGTCTACAGTACGAGGCTCCAGGAGCTCAGGGCGGCTGGAGAATGGAGAAATGGAGATGACTTCTGGGCCAATCTCGATTTGCCTCCTCAGCCGCCATGTTGTGCAGCAACGCAGCATCGCACACCGTGCGTGCTTGGCATCGAGCAGGGTTCGCATAGAGGCCCAAGCGTCATAGTTGGCGACCGCGCCAATTCCGATTGGGGGACGCACACACCCCGCCCTGACTCGCGCATTCCCCACATCGACGGAGTCTCGCGACTTTCGCCTGGGAACCGCACCTTCTCCTCCCCGTTCGTGGCCCCTCGTTTGCCAGCCCTCCTCCGTCAAACAAACCTTACCATCAGAGCTGAACGACGAACACCCCGACTCGCATCCCACAATCCCACAATTCGTTCTCTGGCCCCCCCACAACGCGGCATACGACTGGGTTATCATCTCTAGGCGAGAAGAGCGATCCACTTACCCGGCCAAGAGGTTAGAGTTTTTTCCTGCGACAAGTGAATCAAGGCCTCGCGACGCCAGGCAGGGACAAGGACACGACGAAGGAGGAAATAGCGAAGGGCTAGAGAGGAGGAAAGCGACCTCTCTCGTATCCTCAACATGGCACAGCCCATCACCTTCCCCCGGCCGACCTTCGCCAAGCTCTCCCCTCACCCGTTCCTCCTCGCGAACCTCCAGCCAGCGGACCCCGCGGCCGCGTCACCGGCCCGCACTAACGGTCGCGCGCCACGGGAGGCGCGCCCCGTCAACGTCAATGCGGGCTCGCTATCCCATGCCCATGGCAGCGCCGTCGTGCGCGCGGGCGACACCACCGTGATCTGTGGCGTGCGCACCGAGGTGCTTCCTATAGCCAACATCCCAAACTACCGTGTCCCTCCCCCGAGGCCCGACGACGACGACGACGGCGACGACGACGGCGAAGCAGGTCAGAAAGAGGAGGAAGAGGAGGGGGGTAGGAACGAGCTGCGCGACTACGACCTGGTGGTACCTAACATCGAGCTCGCGACGGGATCCGCGCCGCAGTTCCTCCCCGGCGTGCCGCCCACGACGTTGGCACAGACGCTGAGCAGCAGGGTCTACTCGCTGCTGCACGCCTCTGGGCTGCTGAACGTTGCGGACCTGCGCATCTGGGACGAGGGCAGCAACAGCAACAGCAAACCGGGCGAAAATGAGGAGATGGGGGAAGCCGACGATGGGATGGAGCAGAAGCCACAGGTCAAGGCGTACTGGGTGCTATACATCGACGTGCTATTCATTTCGTTCGACGGGAACCCCTTCGACGTCGCCTGGACTGCCGTAGTGGCCGCACTACGTGACACACGCCTCCCCCGCGCCGTATGGGACGCCGAGCGCGAGGCCGCCGTCTGCTCCCGTGCTGACGGCAGCCCCGGCCGCCCATTGTCTGTCCGCGGCCTGCCCGTCGCCTGCACAGCCGCCGTGTTCCGGGGCAAGGACGACCCCGACGCCGCGAGCGGGGACGGCCAGTACTGGGTCCTGCTCGACCCGGACCGCCTCGAGGAGAGCCTGTGCGACGAGTTCGTCACCGTCGTCGTGGATCGCAGCGTCGGCGCCGACTGCGGGCAGGAAGGGGAGGCGAGGATCCAGAGCATGCTCAAGGCGGGCGGCACGGCCGCGGGGCTGGACTTTATCGGCCGGCTCGTCGAGGTCGCGGAGACGAGGTGGCGGGATGTCAGGGACGCTATAAATACTAAAGCATGAAAATGCGTGCATGCTGCTGCCTGTGTGCGCCTGCTTAAAAAGAGGGTGATAGATAAAATTGCAGGTAATGATACCTAAAGAATAGAGACGATGATGTTACTAGACTGTGGCCTCATGTGTGTTAACTTATTTTAGTAACCTTCCGTTGAGGACGCTGATATCTCAAGGGTTACTGGTATGGGGGCTTGCTTAGTTCGACTAGTCAACAATTACATGAATAAGCCGTATTGCGAGCGGGCTAATACCGTCCTGTAAGCTGGTAAATCTAATTTGGCAGCCACTGAACTCGCTGGAGCAATCATTATGATATTTTTCCACACCTTTGCCATGGCTACAATCGGCGCGTTTAGCCTCACCAAACCGTTGAGGTTGTTTCTTGAGACCGGATGTGTTACATAAGCAGGCAAGGCTACCGAGACTATCACGTGGCAGAGCCACAGCAACGAATCGGGTCCACTTACGGTCGGCTCCGCATTGAAAAAGGCAGGAAAAAAATTCTTGTCGACGTCTTTTCGCTCTGTTTTCTTTTCTGACAAACAACTGCTCGCGCCGGCCCCCAACGGGCGCCGGCGCTGGCCGCCTTGAGGCCTACACGAAAGCAAACGCACGGTAGCCAGGTAAGAACACAATTTCCCTTCCCGTTGTCCCAAACACCGATCGTGGCGTCCCCGCCGCGTCTTTTTCCTGATGAGAACAATTTGCGATTGATTCTACCAGGTGGCTCTCTTTCGCCGGAGTAGCTAGATCTGGTAGATACATGACATTTAATTTCTTACATATTCTGAATCCCTTCCTTTTGATCCTCTTCTGTCTGCCCTTCATCTCTGGCGAGGTGTCAACTTGCTAACGAGGATTTATCTCAGGCTTGATATCGAGGGCACTGCTGTCATGGGCTGGCTGGGGATTGCTCTGTGTGCTGTGCTGTGCTAGGGGCAGGTAAGTTCGTAGGGGATCTTGATCGCTGCATCAACTGGGGTTTCCTTGGGACGCGTTGAAGGATCGGGACTGGCTGGGGGCATGGGCTGGAGGCCTGTTGCCGATCTTCTGCCATTGCAAATGGTTTATTTTTATTTTTATTTTTATTTTTTTGAATGGTCGTCGGCGCTAGCAGACCAATTAGAATTAGCGAACAAACATTTCACTTTCTGACCTCTTGACGCCTCGGCTGCCATCTTGCTTGTGGTGGGCGTGCCATGGTGTTATTCTGCTCAATTTTTGCGCTGGGTGGTTTGTGGCTAATGTCGCACCATTGGCGTAGTTGTGCCACAACTCCGAACCCCCCACACCTCAAGCTCCAGAGCTTCAATTCCAGAAGAGGAAGCATCGACATCATAGCCTTGAGCCTCAGCCCTAACGTCAAACGTCACTTACCCATCGCCCCTTTTTCGTTTGCCTTCACCCACGCAGATTCGATCCAAAAACCGCAGCCATGTTCCGATTCGTAAGCCGACCCTGCGCAGCACTGGGGGCCAGCTTTTTAACTCTCCCTCCCTGCCCCTCGTCGCTCAATCGCTGACTCTTGCGCGCCTCCTTCCTCCGTTTGCGCCACACACGCGCGCGCAGCACAAACCTCTCGACACGGTCACGCTCTTCCACAAGGCCGGCTCGCCGGCGTCGATGCGGGTCGCGGCGCTGCTCAAGCAGGTGTCGGCGCAGGCGACGGCGACGGCGACGGCGACCGAGGACCAGGCCAGCGACCACTCGGCGCAGAGCGCCCAGCAGCAGCAGCGCGCCGAGTTCGACCTTCAGATCACCGAGGACGCGCCCACGCCGGACCAGCTCAAGACCATACTCGAGTACATCGGCGCGCCCTCGGTCGGCGCCGTCATCAAGGGCGCCCGGACCGAGGCCGAGGCGCTCAGGACTTTCAAGCAGAAGCCCGACAGCTTCCAGTGGCCCCTCGTCGTCGACTGGAACAACGGCCGGGCCGCGGCCGGGGCGGACGAGTCCAAGATCCTCAAGATGCTGAACGAGCTCAACAAGGAGAAGTAGTGGGGGAGGGGGGGTGCGGTTTGTGCCTTTGCTGTTTCTTTTTGCATTGCATCTCATATAACGAAGCTCGTCGTCGACTAGCTGTCACGGTCGGCCCTGTATACCATTGCACTCCACGTTTAGATCATTCCTCCTCAATTATCAAAAGCCTCACATGCTTCTCGACAAAGTTCATCGTGTTATGTCTCCAAGAGGGAACTGGTAAATGAGCGGCTCACCCCTTGATTTTGTTCTTGCAAGTGCTGCATTGTGGTGCCGTGATGTGATGGTTCACATATATTGATGAAGCCATCTGCTCGGGATGCTTGGGACATTTTGAGCCTCCGACATTTGACGGACTGTGTGTGGGGCCTTTTGCATTGTCTTCTTCCCTGCAACTCTTGTATGAATTTCTTTGCCATGCAAGCTGGCTGCTTCTCTTGTGCGGCTGGCCTTGTGCGGCTGGCTGTTGGCCTGGCGGCTGCAGCTTGCCGTGCGTGCTTTTGAACAAACGGGGGAACTGCGTTGATAAAGGTCGCCTTTACACTCACTCGGCCTGCTCCGACTCTTTTTGCGGATTTCGGGGCGTGCTGGACACTGTTTATAGACCCTATATGCAGCTCCCCCTGCGGCGTGCTCTCCTGGTGAATCTGGCGGACCCGAATCTCCGGGACCGCTGTGGCATGGGAGCACCGGGGGCATCGGCCGCTCGCCATATAGCTCTCAGATCAACCTCACCTCCTCCTCAGACCAGCTTCCCCAGTGCAGTCTCAATTTGTGCCGGCACGTGTGCTCTCTTGTTGCCTTGGTAGTTTCTTCTTCCCTCCATTTCCTTCCTTCCCTTCCTCCCCTCTTCTGTTTTTTCTCTTCCCACCACCCACAAACTTCTTCCTCCCCCAAAATCCCAACCACCTTCCACCCTTCTGCCAACAACTATCAACAACCCAAGCTTCCTCATCACCACCACGCACTGGTGGCGAGCAGATATTGAGCTATTACCCGCTTTCTTTCTGCATCCACATCACATATCACGCTGGCCGGCCTCTCGGTCATCATCTGAGCCCCATCCTCGCTGCTTTCGGCGTGTACGACGACGAGATATCTTGATCAGTGCAGGACTCTGACACTTCAGACCTTGCGCTGATTTCCTCGAGGCTTCCTCCATCCACACAGGATTGCGTCGTCGACTGCCTGACGATCTTGGTGTCCTTGCGTGTCGTCCTGTACGCACCGGGCTCATCATCCATCAACTCTTCACATTGGCCTCACCTGCTCTTCACATCAGCCACCCCTGCGCAGACTCATTTTTGTTGTTTCCATTCCTCCATCTTTTCTCTTTTCCATCATCGCTGTTACACCTCCCGCCAACACCGCGGGTAAGATGGCGACTGCCGAGAACGGCGCGGCTCCCGCGCTGGGAACAGTGCCGGCTGAACTGATGAATCTCGTCCCTCCTACCGAGAAGATCGGCGAAGTTGGTCGCATCTCCCATCCTTACGACAGCATCTACTTCACATGCCCCCCTGAGCGCAAGTACATCCTCTCCAAGGCCCACGATGAGGCCGACGGGATTGTGTACAAGCCCCGCCCCCTCTCGCTTGACGGGCATGGGCTCCAGCCATTCTCACAGGGAGCACTCGGCTTCCACAGCAACGAGGAAATCTGGCACAAGGCAAACGAATATCGACAGTGTCATCCGCTGGAGGCGGCTCAGGTCAGGACGGATCCGCAAACCTACGAGGATCTGTACGACTACTTTGATGGTTACGACCTGTATTTCCTGGGTGTCCACAACGCCCTGAACGTCATCAAGGCACTTGTCCAGCAAAACAAGCTCCTTGACCCGTTCATCCAGCAGGACAAGAGGAAGGAGATGAACGAGTTCCTCGACGAGTGGATGGCTGCCGACCCCGAGGCCGAGAAGCGCCTGCTCTCGTGGGACTGGGAGGTCGACCCGTCCGCGCGCGCGGTCCTGGATGGCAGCGACATGGTCGCAAAGCTGGGCCACATGGAAGAGGAAGACAAGTTGCTCTTCTCGACGCTCATCGCCAGCCGCTGCGAACAGGCCCAGCTCGCACGCGAAGCCCTGCGCCCAATGGTAGTCGATGGATCGAGCGACGGCAGTCTTGGAGCTGATAGGATGCTCTGTCACGACGGCGACTCGGGTGAGTTCAGCGACCAACCATCATTGCTTGTTGTGCCTGGTCGGGAGGTTGTTCAGCATATGCCCTCATACTTTGCTAATGTGCGAAACCTAGCCAATGCAGGCGCGCCGATCCCCTTACCTGATGGCACTGCTGGCCCACTCCCCTCGGCGCCTTTCGGGGCTCAGATGCCCATGATGGCCACCGCTCAGATGCCCATTGTGCCTACCGCTGAGATGCACATGATGCCCGCCGTCGAGGCGCCCATGGCCACCACCGCCACGTCGGTGAGTGCTCCAAAATACGCCTTCAATGGCAAAATGTCGACCAAGCTCTCCCGACCGGCCCAATCGAGCCAGAATAACCTGTCGACCGACTGCAAGCATCCATCGGCTGCATCCATCTCGCCCCAGCGGCTCCGGATGAAACTCAGACTCAGACCTGGAAACACACAGATGGCACATGGACCCAGTATCGGCAGACCAGAGTTCGGCTATCACGGCGGCCATCACCCCGAGGCCACGCCCACCAAGCCTCCTCGACATGGACCGATGCAGGGCCCCCAGGGGCAGATGCTGGGCGGCCCCTTCTACGGCCAGGGTCACGTCGGCTTCAACAACCAGGACCTCAACAACCGGGCTTGGATGCCACATGGCCGCCTCCCTCAGCCTGGGGTTCTCCAGCAGCCTGTTGGCCACCAGGGCGGAACTGGCCGGGAATTCTCGACTGCCAGCATGCCGATGCCCGCCCCTTCACCCAACCAGGGCCTACAGACCATTGGCTGCCACGGAGACGTCCACTTGAGGACCGCGCCCAACTACCAGCAGGCCAGCCCGCCTCGTTTCCAGATGCCCGGTCAGCTCCAACAGGTCAGCCCGCCTCGTTTCCAGATGCCTGATCAGCTCCAGCAGGCCAGTCCTCCTCATGGCCGCGTGCCTGGTCACCCTCAACAGACTCCGAGCACCCGTTTCACGGACTCGCAGCGTAGAGCTTCTGGCTCCGGACCGTCCACCAAGAACTGCCCTCCCGGGAACGGAGCTGGATGGGCCCTCAGCGAGCAGCAGGATTCCATCCATGGACAGAAGTTTGTGTACAACAAGACCAACACCAGCGACGGCCCCAAGAATCGCCGGAACAACACACTGGGCAACCAAAGCCTCAGCAACCGCAAGCAACAGGCCGGGAACGATAAGCCGGCGGCGGCGGCGGCTGCTACAGCGCACCAGGACACCAAGCACCCCAACAAGAATGGCGGTGGGAATGGCTACGTCAGGCCGCCGCCGCCGACAAAGGAGACGTGCCGCAACTGGGATCGATCCAACAGGCTGCCTTCGGTGGAGTGCCCATGTCCGACCTGCCTCCAGAGGAGCCGCAACATCACGGTGGCAGTCATGGGCGGTGGCTTCCTGGACCGGAGCGATGAGGGAGCTCTGCGCAAGCACTTTTGCCAGTGGGGCCAGATCGAGACTGTTATCTTCCCACGCCCAGCTCCCGGGTTCCAAAATGGATTCCAGGGCCAGAGGCCAACGTCCCGGGTATACATCACGTACGTATTTCAACCCTTCCAGCTCGCATCCCTTAACCCTATCGTCTTGCTCTGTATTGCTTCGAACTCAGCTGACCAGCGGCCTCTCAAATTTAGATACACGTCTGATACTGTGCCTCCCGTGGTTGTCGAGGAGGCAAACGGACAGCTCTGCCCGGGAGTCCGCGGGGCTCTGCGAGTCCTCCATCCACAAAACTCGAAGTACTTCACCGGCGTGAAGACGTCTCCCCGTCATCCCTCCCATGGCGGCCGACCTGCCGTGAGTGGCCCTGCGCCGCAGTATCACCAACCCGGCCTTCCCAGCCTCGCCGGTATCTTGTCACCGCCCTTGGAGTCCTCGAACCTCGCGATTGGTGGAGGAAGCATCGGCTCTCATCCGCGACCGCTCCCGATGCCTCCCATGGTCCCGACCGGCCTCAACCAGGGTCTGCCGCAGTACCCACAGCTCAACAATTCTGTGCGTCAGATCGGAGAGCATCTGGCTTTGACTGGTCCTGCGTCACTCCCTGCGCTGCCCCCGCGGCCGGGTGTCCCGATGCTGCCGGCGCCTGGCTTTCCCGAGTCTGCAACAACACCGACCGCTGCTCAGCATGAGGAGAAGCCGACCGAGACGAGCGAGGCGCAACAGCCCCGAGAGAATCAGGACGAAGCAGATGAGCAGAGCCAGCCATCGGAGAAGCCACAGGAGAGCGGCGAGGCCCAAGAGACTGGCCATCCGCCTTCTTCCGACGCTCATGACAACCTGGCTGAGCAAGGCGATAGGAAGGCGTCGCCTCCCGGCATGCACCGCGGCCTATCCGTGATCATTTCGGAGGACAAAGTCGCAACGCCGTCCCTCTCTACCGGAAACTCGACCATCATCATGACGCCTGCTGGTTCTGACAAGAGCAACGACAGCAACACGCAGCCCGCCTCCCAGCTCGAGGTCCCACCTTTCGCCGAGGAGAACAGCGGCACCGTCGTGGTACACCGACGTGGGAAGCCCCATGGCTCCATTCCCAAGGAATGGCGCACGGATACCAGCGCCGCCGAGTCCAACCATGCCGACGGGTACATGGGCGATTCGGAAGCCGCCAAGAGCTCCATGAAGCCATCCGATGGCGGCCACGACAAGGAGGGAGACAAGGTGAAGCCCGCCAGCAAGAAGAAGGGCAACAACAAGAAGCCCAAGAACAAGACTCAGGAGGCTGGAAAGAACCCGCAGGGTGGACAAAACGCACATGACGGGCAGGGCATGTCCGCTACTGATGGATCTGCAGCCGGCAACGGCGCGGCCGGTTGCAAGAAGGTGGCAGCGAACAAAAAGAACAAGTCGGGGAAGTTTGCCAAGCGCGGCCACCAGGAGGACCTCACGTCTGAGGGCGCGAGGACCGAGAGCCGCGCCGCGACCACCATCTCTTCGGGCCGGTCCACGCCTGCCTTCCCCCATCGGGCAGACGAGCCACAGGGAGACAAGGCGCAGGGCAAGAAGAAGAGGAAGCAGCAGCAGCAGCAACAGTGGGCTCCCACTCCCACACCCGAGCCCGAGAGCAACAAGACGGACGATGCCGTGATCTCCAAGGCGCAGACTCCCGAGAAGGGCGGAGACGAGGGAGACGCCCAAGACGACCTGCTGGTGCGCAAGAACCGCGGCGGCGGCGGCGACCTCCTGTCCATCTCGCCCTTCGCGGCGCAAAAGTACGAGATCGATAGGCTGCACGCGGGCGGCGACGGCGGCGGTGGCGGCGGCAGCAGCGCCCGCGAGCCATCGTCGTCGTCCTCGACGCTGCGTGCCAAGTCTTGGAACAAGGCAAGCGGCGCGGCGAGCCTGGCGGCGGCGGGCACTGCCGACGGCGACAGCAAGCCCCGCCACATGGTCCGCGGCGGCTCGACGCTCCCGCGCGGCTTCGACCCGTACCCGCGCATCCCCACCGTCGCCGCCGTGCCGCGCACTGCTGCTACTCCCTCTTCCACCGGAGACAAGGCCACCGCCGCGGAGCCTGCTCTGGCGGCCAAGGGCAAGGCGGTCGAAGGCGGCGCAGACGAAGCGAAGCCTGCTGCCCAGCAGCCCCCCTCGCAGGCCAAGAACACGCCGCCGACGACGCCCGTCTCGTCGCCCAAGGCGTCGGACGCCGCCGCCATCGCACGGAACGACGACGCTCTGCCGCCCTCGCCGCCCTCCAGCGTGAAATGTCAGGCGGCGGCGCTCAACCCGACCGCGAAGCCCTTCGTGCTGTCATCCCCGGTGGGTCCATCGGACGGCGGCAAGAAGAAGAAGAACCGCAAGCAGAGCAACAAGGGCGGCGACAAGGGCGGAAGCGTCGCCGCGGCCGCGGCGCCGCAAAAGCAGCAGCGCGGCCGAAACTTTATGGGGATGAGGCTCTCGGGCTTTAGCAACTATGGCACTCTCGCCTCCGGGTTCGATGCCGGTAATGTGTGGGAGGAGCGCGGCGGAGAGCAGCAGCAGCGGCAGCAGATTGCGGACCACCAGATCTACAAATTCAACCACAAGGAGGCCCAAGTGGCGCCGAGCAGCGGGTCAGGCGTCACGACCGGGATTGACAAGTATCTGGGCAGCGCTGCAGGCGGCGGCGACAATAGCGGCGAAGACGACAAGGGCGAGACGGAGATGCCGGCCGCCGTGGACCATGATACTGCCGCGCAGCAGGAAGAGCAGCTGGGACAGCCGCTGCTGCCGGAGCAACAGAAGCAGCAACAGTCCGATCAAGACAACGAGCAGCAGCAGCAAGAGGGAGAACAGCAGGACGGACAGGGCATTGCCACGGCCGAGAGGGATGGAGCCTACGAGACAGCCGCGGCCAAGATGGCGGACTGGCAGCAGCAGCAGCACAAGACGCGCGCCCCGTCCGGCGGCTCCGCCAAGGCCCGGCCCGCGCCAGGCGCCGAGAGCGGCGAACACCACAGCCGTCCCCACCAGCGGACCGGCAGCGGCCGCAGCAGCAACAAAAACAAAACAACAACGGCCGTGCCGCGGCGACGCCGGCGCAGCGCCCACAGCAACAGCAGGCTCGGAACCCGCCCATCTCACCTGCTTCGTCGACGACGCTGAGCACCGGCAGCGGCAGCGGCAGCGGCAGCAAGTCGGCCACGGCCACGGCCATGGCGCACGGCGGCGGCAGCATGAAGGGCAGCGTCGGCGGCGGCCCCCTGCGGCCCGACTCTCTCCCCGCGGCTGCGGCTGCGCCGGCCAAGCCGGCCGTCCGGGTGCACTCGTCCATTGAGCTGGCCAAGGCGCTGAAGAATCACAAGGCGCGCATCAGCAGCAGCGGCGGCAGCAAGGCGTGAGATGATGCGAGATTAGGATAGGAAGCAGGTATCTGATTTTTTTTTGATTTTTTTTCGGTGGACAATGGTTATCTTGAAGCGACTGGCAGCCGGAGGGTACTGTCCTCTCGGGTGCAGGATATGGAATGGTGCTGCTTCGAGAGGAAAGAGAGCAGGACAGGAATGGTTTCGGAGAGAGGCACAGATGTTGTTGGCAGGGAGGGCACGGGAGACTGGATGCCTTTGCAGCCGGGATGTGCACCACCTTTAATGCCTGTATTTATCGTACCGACTATATCATCCCATCTGTGTAGCCGTTGGGGGGTATTCAGGCCAGCAGTAAGGTGCTGGTGGTGGATGGAGTCCGGCGTTTTATGTACAAGTCGCAGACGGACGAGCCAACCCCTCGACGTCCCCCCCTCTTCTTAATGAACCAAACCCGTATTCCTCTTTTTTTTTTTTGCTTTTTTTTAACCACCCTACGCCTGCTTGACGACAAGGCTCGACACCGTGTCCTCGATCTGCTTGTCCGACAGGCCCTCTAATGACTGGCTCTTCTCGACGCCGAGGTCGTACCTGGCGTAGACCTTGGGGATGGTGCCGGCGGCCTCGCGGATCAGGATGGGCGTGTTGGGGTTGTTCTTCTTCATGGTCGGGTACGCCCGGTTGAGGAAGGACCTGTTTGGAGGGAAGGCAAAGTATCAGCCTGCTGTGTCTGATCTACAGTACTTGGTGGTTGGGCTGGGAAGGCAGGCAGGTAGCTCGGTAGCTCGGTAGGTAGCGAGCTAGCCCCTCCTCCTCCTCTTTCTCCTCCACCAGCGCCCAGCGCCCAGCCATAGAGCCTCCATTCCAGCCCCGGCTGCCCGAGCCAAGTCTCCCAAGCAAGTCAAGATCTAAACTAACCTCACTCCGGCGCTGTGGTCGGCCGTCTGGCAGAAGAGGAAGCGGACCTCCTTCAGGCCCTGGCTGAAGGCGTACTTGGCCGACATTGGTGGCTCGGTGTCGGGTATCTGGCGGCTGACGGGGTTTCGGGCGAGCCTGGCTTGGGCCAATTGGGGCGGCTTTTGGGTGGGAGCAAGGTATCTGTCGTTTGGGGGTTCGAGTCGGCGATGCGTCGTCAAAAGGTGGGATTCTGGCGGCCTGTCTGAAATTCAATGGGTCTTGTCGCGCGCCGCTGCGGGACGTCAAGCTAAAGCTGGTTGTATAAAGAAGAGCACAATAACTTGTGCACGGGCCATTTCTGGGCAGGCCGGGCTGCACAAATTTGGTTTCCCCAACAGCGCGGCTCCACCAATTCAATGCCGTTCCATCTCCGGGCCCCCACAGCCAGAAAAGCTCCCCGCCCGATCGCGGGATTGCTGGGAAAAAGAAAATCTGGAATTGGGGTCAAGGTTGAGCTTTCGCCTCCGTCATTCAGAGACAAAGGTAGGTTGGTACCAAATAGCCCAATCCTTCACCCTTGATTGCGCCAGGAGGACTAACCCCGGGATTTCCGTTGAGCTTTCATGCAGAGTCCGCTCGTTCCGGTCCGGCCCAGAGTCCCTCGTGCTCCCTCCCAACCAAAGACGAAGTAGCTCCGTGTAACATACAACCCACCCACACACACACACACCCATCTCCCTCCTTCTCCGTCCGCCGAGTAGATCAGGCCTCCGGCTCCCCCAAACGACCGACACAACACCACCCTCCCCCTCAAGCAAAGAAAAATGTCCTCGGCAGCATCCACCTTCGCCCGCTCGGCGGCGCGCCCGGCCTTCCGCGCGGCCTTTAGGCGGCAGCAGTTCCGGCGCGACGGCGGCAGGCGGTGGGAGAGCACGGCCGGCTCGGCCCAGGCCGGCCCCCAGCCGAGCTGGGTCAAGCGCATGTGGGACAGCCCCATCGGCCTCAAGACGGTGCACTTCTGGTAAGTCCTCCTCCCTTGGCGCCCGCTGCGCTGGTCCGCGCCAAGGGTAGCAAGATGGGCAAACGAAACGGTCATCATGCGCGCGCGCGAACCCTCGGACTGACCCGGAGTTTTTGTTTCCGCATCATAGGGCCCCTGTCATGAAGGTATGACTATCATATACGATATCACAAAGCCAACAAGGCAACCCATGCCAAAAAAAAAAAAAAAAAACCCGGAACCGCTGACCGTTTGTCGCAAACAACCACATCACAGTGGGCCGTCGTCCTCGCCGGAATCTCGGACCTGGCCCGCCCGGCCGAGAAGCTGTCGCTGACCCAGAACGCCGCCCTGACGGCGACGGGCATCATCTGGACCCGCTGGTGCTTGATCATCAAGCCCAAGAACTACCTGTGCGTCTCTTCTCTTTTTTTTTTTTTCCTGCACCGCTGGAGGAGAGAGGAACCGACTCTGGTACTAACAAACGGGAACAACAAAAAGACTGGCTGCCGTCAACTTCTTCCTCGGCATCGTCGGCATCGTCCAGGTCAGCCGCATCATGATGTACCAGCAGTCCCTCAAGGCCCAGGGTGAGGGCCCTGGCGCCCTGACCGCCGCGGCCGAGGCCGTCGAGAAGAAGGCCGCGGACGCCAAGGAGGCCGTCAAGGCCGCCAAGCCTTAGGTATCTCTTCTTTTTGTCTTTTTCTCCTCGCTTTTTTTCTCCTTGACTCTTTGTTGGGGACACCCCCACCCCCCTTTTTTCTTCTTTTTTAGAAAGTCGGGCTCTTTTCTCGGCTGATGTGATAGAGAAAGAGATGGAGAGAGTTGCTGGCGCATCAAATGGAAAGAAACTTGACCCACGGCTCCTCACCGTCCACTGATAAACTTGTGGTCGTTGTTGCAATTCGGTGTCCAGGGAACCCAGGGGGAGGGGCACACATGTATGCAGGAATATCACGCTTGTAATGGATCGAAACGTTGAACTAGAAATAAGAGACGAACGAGTGGATGGCCAACATGGCGGCATGGGGGAGTCGATCTGTTCTCGTCGAGGTTCTTGCTCTTGACGTCCTCCAGTGGCGCTTATGAGCCCATCGCAATCGTCGACACATGGACACTCACAAGCACCTAGGGCACGCCGAAAGGATCACAGGCGTCTCTCAGCCAGCTTGGCGGGCAGGCAACGCACGCACGCTTCTTCTGTGCCACGTATCTAATGTCACATCATCCAAACAACCCAGAGACACCATTTGTTTCCTAGTGACAATCCTCGATTTTCTACTAGGTCATTCTCCCTTTGCCCACTGCCACATTCTCCCGTGCCTTTCATTGCCACCTCGGGGGTATATTCTCTGTCGCCCGTCCGCCTATGCATTCTTGTTCCGTCCCCTGAAAATTTGCATCACGCCCAAATTCCGAAAGAATAGTATTATATGGCACGCCCGATCCGAGCCTTATAAACAAGGCCTCCTTGGATGAAATAAAAGTCTGGACAAAAAGGGGCGGTGACTGGACAAGGGGCGGGCCGCCATCGGTGATTCACCAGCGAATTCTAGAAAGAAACAAGAAGAAGAAGAAAAAAACCTCCAGCCAAGTACCGTCCAGCGCAGCCGAGATAGCGTTGGAGCTCGCTCGCCGGCTTGTTCCAGCTCAAGAGACTCGCACTTGCCTTCCTCACATGACAACACACTCTCCCTCCTGCTTGGGGATGCTGCGCGAAATGCGCTCGCGTTGCCGGGGTCCGTTTTTACCGGACCGCTTGAGGTCCTCGAGCCGCTCGCGCGCCTTGGGGAAGTCCTGGGCTAGACGGGGTTGAGAAGAGAGAACATTAGTATGCGGAGGGGCGCGCGGTGCATAAGAACAAAAAAAAATGACAGTCCACTACTCACCAGCAGCGCGCCAGTACCACCTCTTGGCGTCTTCCATGTTGGCCGGCACGCCGATGCCGACCTCGGTGAAGTAACCCATGGCGTACTCGGCTTTTGCCAGGCCCGCGAGCGCCGCCTTGCGCGCCCAGAGGTAGGCCTCGGTGTCGCTCTGGGTCAGCACGCCCTCGCTGCCCGTTAGGTACCAACCCGACAGCGCCAGCTCGCTCTGGTGCTCCTCCTGGGTCGCCGCCTTGGAATACCACATGATGGACAGCCTCGGGTCTATGGGGCAGCCCATGAGCCCGTACTCGTACGCCGCTCCCAGCCGGAACTGGCTGAACTTGTAGCCCAGGTCCGCCGCCTGCTTGAACAGCGACAGCGCGTACGCCTCGTCCCGGAGGATCGCGTCGTTGGGCTGCGCGCTCTCGTACAGCAGAGCCAGCTCGTGTAGCGCGTGAGGGTTCTCGGCGTCGGCCCGCTCTGCTGCCCGCTTGAGCCAGCCCACCGCCTCGCGCGGGTTCTTGGGCTGGCCGAGCAGGCCCTTGAGGAGAATCATGCCGACCTTGTACATGGCCGGGGTATCTCCCAGCATGGCCGCCCGCTTGTACCACTGTATCGCCTTGAGCGGGTCCTTGCGCGTGCCTCCGCCCTCCTCGTGCCCAATCTCGCAGCAGACGGCCGTCCGGTATGCCGCCGCGGCGTTACCCAGCTTGGCCGCCGATTGGTATAGCGTAAAGGCCTCCTTGTTGTCGGGCTCGGCCCCAAAGACGCCGCGCCCAAGGCAGTCGGCCATGAAGAACATGGCCCCCGCGTTCTGGGCGTGGGCTAGCTTCTTCAGGATCTTGTGGGCGTCTGTCGCGTACCGGTCACGCGCCTTGGCCCGCCCCCGAGGATCTGGTATGCCGGGCACCAGCACATCCATGGCCTCCACTAGCCTCTTGGCGAGCTTGAGCGCCGAATCCTGGTCGTTGGGGTCCGCCTTTATGATACCTCTCAAGGACTCCAGCTCTCCCATTGTTACGGGCGTCTTCTGCTCAGCGGCCTGCTGCTGCGGCGGGCCGTGGCTGATGGACGCAGGGGGCGGCGGCGCCAAGTTTGCGTTTGGAGGCGTGTTGTTGTATTGGCGCACCGGCGGTGGCTTGTTGACCATCTGGTTGGCCACCGAGTTTGGCATCAAGCCAGGCCGTATAGGGGCAGGGTGTGCCGGTAGCGAGTCCCCTCCGCCCATCGCCATGGGCGCCGATTGTGTCGATGCGCCACTCCCATGCCTGGCGGGCGCAGGGCCGTTGAGGCCAAAGCCCTGGGGTTGCCTAGGATCAAAGCCGCCGGGGCCGCCACCAGGGCCACCACCGGGGCCGTTCATGGGACCGCCGCCAGGCTGATATGGCTTGTACTGGTCTGGGATAGCGGGCATGTCGCCTACCATCTCGAACACGGCAGCCTGAGGTTGCCTTAGATCAGGCTGGGACTTGGTCCTGCTCATCTCCGGGTGCCTCACTGGGCCTCGTTGTTCCAGGCTGGGACGACTTGGGGGCATGTTCTGGTCTAGCGATGGGCGACCAGGGGCATAATTCTGATCCAACGAAGGTCGTCCCGGGGGATAGTTCTGGTCTAATAACGGTCTGCCGTTGGGCGGAGGCATCGGCCGGTAGTTCTGTCCCTCTGACATGGACGAGGCACGGTTGTCTTGGTACTCATTCTCTCGAGTTCCGCCGTAATAATCGTAAAAGTCGTCGATAGAAGCTGGCCTCTGCTGGCCCTGGTCTGCGTAGCCAGGCCCGTCGTATCCGCCGCCGCCTTGGTACTGACCACCTTGTGGCAGTGGCGGGGGGTTCGTCGGGGGATTGCGCGGAGGGCCACGCATGCCTTGTGCGGTCGACGGTCGCGACGGCAGAGGCATACGAGGCCCCGGCCCGCCGGGTCCTGGCCCGTTAAATGTTTGCGTGTCGGCGCGCATGGGAGCCGGCGGAGGGCGCATGCCACCACCTCGGGGATCCACGTTTGGCATGGTCATCGTCCGCCCCGGTGGGCCAAATCGGCCCTCGTCTTCATAGTCGCCACGAGGACCGTATCCTTGATCGGGGCCGCCCGGGCCGCGCCACTGATCGGGATAGTCGCCTTGGCCGAACCCCCGCTGCGGCGGAGGACCACCGCGAGGCCCGTCCGGTGCCGGGCCGCCGCCGTCTATTCGTTCTGGCGCGAGCGCCAAGCCTCCCATCCGCTGGATGATTGTATTCTCTTCATCCAAATCCGTTTTGCGGTTGTGGCCGGGAAGTGCCGGAAAGGGGCTCCCACCAAAGCCAGTGTCCTGTGGGCTCATCGGAGGGCGATTGTTGCGGGATGCTGTGCACGGAATGGTCAGATTTCAAGACTTGGGCCAAAAGTACTGCTGAGCAGGCGCCATGATACGTACAAATTGGGTCAGCGGTTGCAGACCTCTCCATCGGACGACCCGGCCCAGGCGGTCCGCGGCCTGGAGGTCCGTTATGGAATCCCCTCCCAAGACCAAGACCAGGGCCGCCGCCGCGTGTGGGAAACGGCGCGCCTCGTCCAGGTCCACCAGGCCCGTTAGGTCCCGGAAACGGACGACCTCTCCCAGGTCCAGGTCCAGGACCCGGGCCGCCGCCGTAGTAGTCCTGCGGAGGATAGTTTTGTTGCGGCGGTCCCCTCTGGTAGTTCCGGTCATCGTACTGGTCGTATTCCGGCCCGTATCCGCCACCTCCTCCTCCTCTGCCACCGCCGTAGTCGTTGTATCCATAGCCGTCATCGTAACCGTCCTGGTATTGGTCGTACTGCTGGGCAGGCGGAGCGGTGAACTGCCTCTGCGGAGGGCCGCCCGGGCCTGGAGGGTACTGACGCTGAGGCGGTGGTCGTGGGACGCCCGGTCCCGGGCCGTTGTATCCGCGCGGGGGCGGTTGTTGATATCCGTCGTAGGACATGCTGAGAGCGCGCGCGCGCGTGTGTGCTTTTTTTTTCGTCGTACAATCTCTCAGTCGTCTCGCTGGCCGATCCTCACAGCTCTCCGCCGTCACGAGGCAGGCGATGGCGCGGATTGACGGCCGGTGTGCCTTTGAGCCCCTCCCCGCTGCCGCTGCAGACAAATGGCCTAGCGTATGCAGGGACGGGATTAAAATTCGTGGGGGGACGCCTCGGCGGCGAACAATTGGTCTCGAGGGCGGGCGCAATTTGCCGCAAGCAGCGACGGGAGTCGGGGCAGGCTGATCTGCCGTGACTGCGAGTCGCAGTCGTTTGTTCAGCAGAGTTGGGGTATCCAGACAATGAGCAGAGAGAGAAAGCTCAATAGTCGATTTTTGTTGCGGTCGGGATCAACCCGAGGCTAGTTCGGGCAAGGCGCGGGTTGGAGCTGCAACAGTCGTAGTGCAGTGCCAGTTTGCTGCTCGCTGAGTTTGCTGCTAGCTGAGTTTGCTGCTAGCTGAGAGTGTTATTGTTGGTGGTCGAGGTTTCGGCCCAAAGCTGATCGACGGTTTCGGCAGGGCTCCCACCAGAAAAGCGAATGGGGCTGTAGCTGAGATGTGGCGTGGCCTTAGTTTTGGTCTTGGGGTGGGTTCGAGTTTGCACCTCAATCAGAATCGAGGGCACTGGCACGCCCGTTGGAAAAAAGTGGCAGTGTTTTGGGGTGGCAGGCCTGCTAATGTTGCTTTTTTTCCGCCTGTGCCGGCTGGGCGTGCTCCAGGGCTGGTCGGCCTGTGCAAGGGGTTGGGGGCACGCTAATACGCTAACAAGTTGCTAACCTAACAAGCATCCCCACACGTCCAATGACGCTGCCGCCCAGCCAACCCCTATGTGAACGTTGCATGCACACATTGATGTTGATTCCTGTACCGAAAGGTAGACAGACAGACGCATGTACAGCAGGTGCAGGTGGCATCAGCAGGTGGCATCAGCAGATGGCATCAGCAGCCAGTCTTGTCTGCTAGGTGGTTCGCACCAGGGCCTGCCTGCCTGCCCTGCTCATGCAGCCCGTGCCAATGGTAACCCAACGTTTCCGACTCCCAGAGTCTCAGCCCACTTCTTTCATGTTCCTTCCCGTTGCCCTCTCCCCTGTGCGTGCGCGAAACAGGGCCAAAGTCACAAAGTCACAGGGTCCCCAAACTGGTCTCTCTCTTTCTCTCGACCCCCCATGATCCCTACGCCAATCTTCGTGTTTCTAACTGAGGCACTCCCCAAGGGCTTTTGCTGGTCTCGAACCAGGGCTCCGCGAGATGGCCAATAGAAGGCAGGGTCGCATCGCACATTGAAAGCCTCTCCAACAATACAAGGCCCGAGTGTGCCTCAGCTACCAAAACACCGGGCAAGCTTGACGCGGCTGCGCCCGGACAGAGCATCTTGCCACTCGGTACCTGCATCATCCCGCTAGAGTTTGAGCTCCAAACCCATGGCGCCCGCTTGGATTCGCTGCCTCATCTGGCTGAAGCCTAGCACTGGAAGCTGGAAGCCGCCAACCCTATGCGCTACTGCTCGCCTTTGTTTTGGTTGCTCGTGATGGTAGGCAGTACCTTCCACATGCCTGCAGCGAGACGGGTATCGATGCAGAGCTCTGCCAACAGTGCATGTTATCCAATCTCTGGATGCGAGCTTAAGCTTCCTCATGCCAAGCCCTGGCATCGCGATGGCTAAAGCTTGGGTGCGTCTCTTTTTGTCATGACGACGACCGAGGCCTCCATCTGGCTGTGTCCAACTGCCCGCTGTCGCTGATCCCTTGTTTTGCGTCTTTTGAGGAAAAGGGACCCCCAACTACCTACCTACCCCAAAGGTGGGGGGCCACGGGACAACAAGGTATGACTCCCATGACCCTGACGCGCGCCTTGGAACCTAGTGATGGATGGTAGATCTCCCGCCAGACCGCTCCCAGTCGAATCGTACTCGTCCGAGAAGCCGGTTGGCTGTGCCCGGGCGGCGGAAGGAGGTGGAAAAAGGTCGACGGGATTTGCTAGAACATTGAAGGGACATTCCTGGCTCCCACCTCGATAGTTGCATGCAGGGGTCCTGTGGCCCGGCGAATCAAGGGAGAGAATGTGCGTGGTGACGATGATGCATTGCGGGAAGGGGCGCGGGCGGGCATGCATGCGATCAATCAAGGGGAATCGGACGGGCCCCAGACCCGGCAGCTAAATCCTTGGTTCGGCCTATCAAGCCGACGGCCTTGTTTCCCACCTTCTGATTCTCTAACGCGATGGGTGCCCAAACAGCAAAATCTGTCGTGCCATCGCACAAGTGGAAAAAGAAGAAAAAACCACTCGGAGCCGAATGTTCCATTGTATCAACAGCAGAGGCATCCGCCCGTCCGTCCACTGAACAGGCGCCACGTGAGACGAATCACGATTTTTGGGTTTGTCACACACGGAAAGAAGGCCAACTAGCGCATGGCCACAACATTATGCAACGGTGACAACCAACGTAAAAACAGCGCAAAAAAAAACACACAAGTAAGAAAAGAAAAGAACCCCAGATGATGCCGACCTGCTAACAGCCCGGAGCCGCCGAGAGCCGAGAATGGACAGCGGACAGCCGCGCGTCCATCAATCAGCCTTAGAAACCCCAAGCCTGCGGTCTCGGCATCCCCACATCTCCACTCCTTCTTTATTCTCCTTAGCCTCGCCCGCTTAATTTTTCGACGGAGGCCGCCATGGGTCCATGACGACATCCGGCTTCCTCCATGATCGCCTCCCCGGACGGATCAGCGAGAGAAATTTTGAGGGAGATGAGCTGGGGGTCACCTGGCCATGCGTGCGCCAAGCAACCAGCGCGGCTGGGGGTCTGAGGGAAACGCGTTCCAAGGGGACAGCACTGATGGTCACAAATTGCTAGCCTCGCCGGCCCATTCCAACCAAAGACTGGTGATTTGTGTCGCAGAACCCAAGAACTTTATTCGCTATTCCATTTATAATTTGTTTCGTCGTAAAATGCCACACATCGTCCACTAGACACACAGTCACTCGCTGGTCCGCGTCTGACACCTCGTTTCCTCCCTGCTACCGCGTGGCCTCTAGCTCCGCCAAAATATGAGCGCATCAACTACTGGGGCTCATGCATTGTGAGGATGGCACGACGCCCAAATACAGACCTGCGGTCCAAACTAGGCAACGCCTGTTGGAGCCCCCATTTTCCGGGCACTTCTCTGCACGCTGCGATTTCTCGACGGCTCCTTGGCACCGGCCAACTTGTTGCTCTGTTCGACAAAACACCATCAAGACATGGTTCCACGCCATTGGGCCAGGTAACCCATTTATAGGACCCCAGGGGCGAACCCTGAGAGCGACCCTGAGAACGACTTGAAGCGGCACACGACGACGTATCAAACGGGCACCTTCCCCTTGCCACAGCCCGGTACCATCGTTGTAAAATGGGATACGAGCGGAGAAAGCCCAAGTCTAAAGCCCAGTAGTACAAGCCATACGTAGTGGCCAGGTAGCCGAAGGGACGCTCTCATGTGAGATGCCAAAGTTCGGGGACAAAGTGTTCAAGGGTTGCGGCTATAACATGCGCATCTCTACGCCCGGATGCCAAATATTGAAGACCGAGTCCATGCTCTGGCTGCCTGAAGGATTCATAGTGTATTCGCCAGTGGTAGGAAGACGCACATGCCTTGGCCCGATCACGGACGGGCGGGATACCAGATCTGCGCTGGAGTTACACGTGGCAGCCAGGAAATACCACAGGCGAGGGGAACACCGACCCTTTTATATATATATATATATATAAAGATGATTGGGCACGAATCTGATATGCATCTGAGCAGCGAATCGTCCTCGAGGTCGTCTCCACTGGCCGATACAAATAGCATGCAGGTTTGCCAGCCGAGTCTCCTGTTCACGAAGCATGCTCGATTCCATTCAAGACCGATCGAAACAAATCGAAAGGCTGGAGAACGGGAGTACCGCAGATATGTGTTGTTAATGCAATAGAAACGGCACAGTAAGGAGCGTCGAGCGTTTTGGATCGGCTGACGGTCGGTGTTCTATCTTTGCCAATGGCTGCCAGATCATTGTGGTCGTATACTTCCACTCACTCACGGAGAGTATTCCCCGGCCTTGCGAGTCCCGCTGCTCGTGTTGGCAAGCGTCGAAGAGGGCCAACGATCCCATCACGCTGACGGTCTCCAGAACGAGCCACATGAAGTTGGTTAGGGTGCCTTTGTCACCACCCACAGCTACCCGAATGGGATAGCCGCGGCGACGGAGCAGCTTCCCCAAGACTCGTCCGGCGGCGAGGGCATATAGTGTTCGCCGATCAGTTCGCCGACACCGGCATCGGCCAACTCGCCAACAGTGCCGAGGATCCTCGCCCAAGCGGCGTGGCAAGCGCCGACTTCGTCAATGTCCTCAGTGCTCGTAGGTCTCTGCATCTTTTCCTCCGTTAGGGGTTCCGACGCTGGATCTTTGGCGTGTTCTTCTGTGTCAAGGATGTGATTACTGCAAAGAAGTATTCCGAAGCATATTAAACGTATCCCCCTATCCGAAATCTGTCTGGCTTTATCGTTAAATTTTGCTAAAAAGCAATATGGCATGGAGTGTGCATTCCATGAGCCTGCACTACCACCACCCTCGGGTTGGTGCTGCGAAAAGGCAGACGGCTTCCAGATGCCCAGGCACGGTGAGCGAGCACATTAGGGCAGTTGCATGTAACGCGGCGTTGTAGTGGACGGGCGATTTGAGGCTTTGTGAAAATGAACAATGCTGGTGTCAATAGTTTTGTGCTGGTTGGATCTATCGACGCCGCTTCTATATGGCCACAAATCTCCCAACCGATCCCTCCTCTGTTGTTTCATCAGTCCCAAATCATAAACACGCAGATAAATGTTCCAGAATCTTCTCGACACAGTATCCAAATTCTCAATACACGACTTCATTGATACATTGACCCTACTCCACGATATCGTCTAGGTAGTTAACTATCTGATGGAGAAAACATGCGGAACGCCGCCGCTGCTGTGAAAGATGCCAGCGGCAAGAAGGCACTCGGTGGGAGGGTTGGGGTTGGGACCTAGCCTTCCGTCTTGTGGCTTATGTCCTAGGCCTCGAGCGCTGGTGCGGCCTGCACAACAGCCAACATGGAAGGGCCAGAATGAAAGTGGGGTTGGAAAGCAGTAGACATATTCAACCAACTTCTAGCAAATAGGACAGCGCGCAAGTGTAAACTGTTAAGGGATAAAATACCGTATAACTCAGTGCCGCCAGGGGCTTTTCAGGAATCAGGGGGAAAGGAAATGGCTCCAGAACGCCTTGCGGTTGTAATGTCGAAAAGAAAAAAAAGACCGACCAATGGTGTTATCCTTATCCTGATAAATCCAACGCCTCGCAGTAGTAAAGACAAGTTAATAAAAACGTATGTGAAAGTGATAGGAAGACATGAAGGGAAATAAACGAGGGGTATTGTTCCTTGTAGTATAAAGTAATGGTCTGTGGGGTATATAACGAATGTGCAGTTGTCAACTTGGCGTGATAAGAGCAAAGGACAAGACGAGTACAGAGTGAAACGAGCCGATGCGGCGCTCGTGGGACGTGTGTGGTTTAGGGGATCTCGAAGCAGTCATCCTCGGTGACCTTGGCCTCTTCGGAGATGAAGACGATCCCTCTCCGCTTCCAGTCTCCCCGCTTGAGTATGTAGCTGGGTGACTCCGGACTCCCGAGTGGCCTGGGCCTGCCCTGGCTGAATGTCGGGGGCGTCGGCAGCGGCGCGGTCGGCAGGCCGGCCGAGGCGTGAGAAGGAAGGAAGATGCTCGAGCAATCCGAGGTCGTCGACGATGCAGTCGACGGGCGACGGTGGCGAGCGGCGATGGAGACCGGGGAGGTGGCCGAGTGAAGGTTGTTTTGATAGCGGTGGTGCTGTGGTTGGTGATGGTGATGAGGAAGCCTCTCGGCAGACGTTGGCGAGGTTGGGCTGCCGCCAATGAAACCAAAATCGAATCCTTCGTGTATGTCCATCTCGGCAGTCTTCATTCTCGGGAGAAGTGGCCGTCGGTTGGCCAGGGGTGGTGGCGGTCGTAGGGCCGTCAGGCCGTACGAACCGATAATGTCGTCAATGTCGGCGTCGTTGCCATATCCGTGGTGGCTGTCCACAACCGGTGTCCGTGGGGCCGGTTGCTGACGGCCGCTCTGGCGACCCGTGATGTAGGGGGACCTGGCATCGTTCATGGGTGGGTGGAGCCGCAGGGGGTCCCAGTCGTCCTCGGACATCCTCGGGTGGTGACCGTTATCCCCATCGGTCGACGGCCGGGGTTGCCTGAGGTGGTTGGTGTGGTCCGACGAGTCGGACGACGCCGTGCTGAAGGTGCTGTCCTTTCGGACATGCTGAGGAGCAGGCTCGGTGGTGGCCTTCTCCCGAAGTCTGCGCTCGCTTCGGCATTTGCGGAGAATCCTGTTCCCCATATCGCCAAACATTTTGCCGGCCGCTGGATAAGAGTATCAAGATGGGTGGAAGCCGGTATGAAAGGAGCCTCGGGCTCCTCAAGGAGTGTGAGAAGGTCTCTCGAAGACTGTCTACTCTTGAAATACCAAAGAAGACGTAGGCGACCAGAGAAGTGGTTGGGTGGGGAGCAACGAGCGATATATGTAAGTAGAACGGCAACCTGTATACCCTTTTCGGAGCAGTCGGTGCCTGGCAGTGGATGACTGGAACGGAGTGGGGACTGATGACGGCGGACAGCACCAGGTAAAGTGCGCTAGGAGGTGGGGAGCGGAGGTCTGTCAAGGGGGTGGTGCATGTGGTGCATGTGGTGCCTTGCAGGATGCATCCAAGGCTGAGGGTGTGTCAAGCGAGAGGACGGGCTGGGTCTTATGGAGCAGCCGTGACCGACTTTGATGTGGAGTGTGCGTTTGTGACCTGGAAAACGGCCATGACAATATGATAATGCGCGAATGGCTGCGGCTGGAGGGCGCTGGAGGGGTCGCCGGAAGGCTGGGCTGGCAGGGGAAATGAGGCCGCGAGAATCTGGCATAGCGGCTCGCTTCCTCGGCTTCCTTTTTCTTTCCGTATCGGGCGGACACCAGGGCATACGAGGCCGATCTTGCCGACTAGCAAAAAAGGTCGAAAAAGGCAGCGCCACGGCTGACCCACCAGTTCTCCCACCCCGGCGCTCGCGCTCCACCGCCCGACCAGGCCATCGCCCCTCTGGGCGCTGGGCGTGTGGGGATGGTGGCTCGTAGCTTTGTGATGGCGTACGTCATGGGCCGTGGTGCGAGATGTCATCTGGTCGCTGAGCAGAGCAGGGGCGGAAATGGGCCATGGTCAAAGCGCCTAGAGCCTTCGTGGGCTGACAGGGAGCCGTCGTGGCGGTCTGGCGGTGCGACAGCGGGTCCCCTCGTGGACAGGAATCTGGACGAGGGCCGGGGCTGTCATCCCAGCACATCATCTGTTTCATCAGCGCAGTCCCGTTGCGCATTCCCGGGCACTTCTGGCTTCGGGGCGCTTCCAAAGTTTGCTCGACTTGTGCGCCTGGCAGCGCCTGGACCGCCTGGGGCGTCATGATGAGGTCGGTGGAGTCGCGACGGTCAGGACTTTGGCGCCATGCACGAGTTTTCCAAGAGTCCGTTCCATGCGGCAGAGAGAGCCCATCATCGATCCCCGCCCATTCCAGTATTTCACGGCCGGAAAGTGGGAGGTCTTGGGCTGGTTGGGCGGCCTGAGTGGACTCGAAACAATCGCAAAAAAGAAAAACCAGGCTTTGCGGCCCCCTGTCCGAGGGAGCATTGTATCGGGGCTGCCCCATTGGTCGATGGGAAGTGCCGATCACCATGAGGATCCCAAGCCGCCATCCTGTACGGACTATCAATCCCAAGAAATTCCCCGTCCTGGCTAAGCCCGAAACAAATCGCCACCAGCTTGCCACTTGGGTGCCGTTTCCGTGTGTTTTTTTTCTTCTCTCTTGTTGTTGTGTGTGTGTGTGTGTGTGTGCGACACCGCTCAATGAACATGCTGCCGTCAGCCAACGGCGCAGTAGCGAGTTCAGTTGCTTTTTGCTGTTCCTGGCAGCGTCAAACAATTTTCGTTGAGGAACAATTGGACGAGGACCCTTTCCTCAGCCGTGCGAGTCAGGCTTGACCGATTCACACCAACGCGCAAAAGCGCACCTCAGCTAGCCTCCATACAATTGTAAGCGAAAATGCGGGGCCGGTAACCAGCCACAGCCGCGCATCACGGACAAGGTGCAGTAGTGCAGCTGGTACCTCAATACTGTGCCTACTACGCACGCTGGTACTGGTGTCAGAGACTTATGCAGGAATGCGGCAATGCAGGCACCAGGCACACCGACAGCTGGGCCAACCACACCGTCCGCCGCTCCCTCCAACAAACACTCATCGAGATTCGCGCGAATCAACCAAGGGAGCAGAAGCAAAGGCGAAAGGACCGCCGTGCCTGCTAGCATCCATGAGTTATGTCGCTCAAGGTGCGCCCCGCTGCCGGCGTCGCACGGCCACTCACTCGGCTTGCACCGGTGTCGGCTCTCGAATTGCGCCAACGGGCGCCACTTTCGACCCCGGCAATCGAGAATATCGCACCCGATCTCGAAATCCCCCCTCGGGTCCCATAGCAGAGAGGAGGGGAGCCGTAAGGGGTGGTTTCTGGTCAGGGGCTGCCAGCTGCGCGTTCTTGCTTCTCCTGCGGATTGGACTCGCTCGCCGCCCACCCGTTTCCCAGTTTTCCAGCCCTCCCGACGGGCCAAGCGCCTCCTCCGACGCCGAGAGGGTGTCAAGAGGCCATCGCTTAAGCTTTGAAAACCTGCTTGCCATTCCGCGCTGGCGCAGGAACCCAAGCACTGCACTTTGTGGGGTATAATGCCGCCCGACGGGCTGGCGACGCAGGTTTAATGTTCAATTGATGCCAGGATCCTTTCCGGAGTTACCACTCGCGCCCGACGGCGAGAGGGGCTTGCCGAGCGCCGGACCTTCTGCTCCATTTCGTCTGCCCTGCTCGCAGTCAATGTGCGCTCGTGGTGGGTCAGGCAGCCTTGGTGCGTGATGGTGGCCCCTCTCCCTTGCAACCCTTACATCCCTGAGCAACCGAGAGATGCGAGACCAGGCAGGGGTCGACCGATCACCTGGGCCTTTTTAAAATTTCCCCCCCCAAACCGTGACGGGACATCCTCCAACCCAATATCAGCTCAGCTGCTCAGCCGGACGGGGTCGACGACGGCCAGAACCGTGATGGAAATGATGTTCAGGTACCCAGCACGCACTCGCCCAAGCCACATGCAGGAACACCTGAACAGCGAAGCGAGGGTGCATGGCACTTATTACCAGCTTTGCCGAAAACATCATAGCGCGAACTAAACCTCTCATTTGGTCCTCCATCTTCTCATAAGCGCAATGCGGAGAGTAAGGAGTGCCGAGCGCGCCGAGGCAGCCGGCTGTTATTTTTAACCTCCAAACTTTGACCACATTCACACAGACAAATGTGGCTATTGCCGTCGGCCGGAAAAGTTCGGAAGTACCTGGTAGGTCGGTGTCGCCTATCCCATAAACTTCCACGTATGCCTGGACTGCTCGTTTCTCTTGTGAGTGCTAGTACACACAAAATCTGTGGATGATGTGAGATAACACGAGGAACCCGGGGTCTCCAATGCGTAATCCGCATTCCTCGTGTTTCCTCTGGAATCTAGCAACGAAGAGCCCCGAAACGCAAAACCCGAGCTGTCCCTGTTCACACATGCACTGCCAGGTTACATGTTCCCACCCCTTCCAGACGCTGCACCGACTTGAAAAAAATGGAATGTCGCCGTGTCTTGTTTCTGCCAGGTCTTGTGAAGAACACGGCATGGAAGGATGCAACTTTCACCCCTCATACAACCCAAGAAACGTGGGACTCCTTCGACGGTGACTGTATCACAGCAAGCGCCCTGCTAGCCAATGCGCGCTCGACACGCCCGCCAGTCCTGCCGTTGTGGAAGGGTCGACAACCGGCATTTTTCGTGTCCGTGTTCCCTCTATCCTCCGCATGCACCTCGATGACGACGACGATCGGGAAGCTATTGGAATGGCTGGCCGGCGGTGCCGCCGCCGACATATGCAGCGGCACAGCCAGGAGTCATAGAAGCAGTGATCTGCTCCTCCTCGGGGACGTCCTGAAGCGTGTGGTGGTTTTTGTATTCAGAGTTTGCCGTCGCTCTCGCCTGCGAACCGTTCTACCCGTTTTTGTTCCCAATTGTCCAGGTCCTTCGCGGCCAGTCTCTATTGTGATGAACGAGGATCGGCGTCAGTGACCGTAATCTTCCTTTGGACGGGAGGGCGGGGGGTGCAGTCGGGCAGATGCCGAACTCACGTAGTACTCCTCCTTCATGTCCACCTTGCGTGCGCCATTGTTGATTCCCAGCTCCTCCTCCTTGGTCAGCTGCCTGACCCTGCGGTCGTGCTTCTCGTATCGGATGGCGGTCGCGGGGGTGAGGACAAAAGAGCCGGCCACGATAACGGTCATGAAGGGCAGCCCGAACATCAGGAATGGGTGCTTGGCCATCAGCGCCCTGTAGCGCACCCCTAGCTTGTTCGCATCCGCTGCCCCGCGGAATTTTTTGCTCTGAAACACTGCCATAAGAGGCGATGGACAGAAAAGGTTTCCGGCTACGGCCTCGGAGTGTTGTGATGGAAGGGTTTGTGGTGCGATGATGGCTGGGCTCTGGCCGAAGTTGTAAAGTTCCACTAGCTGCCCGCTTCAGCCCTGCTGCGGCAAGTGGGGCAGACAGTCGAATCATGGGTTCAAAGTGCTATCATGTGACTCCGCGTCGAACTTAGTCGCGTCCTGTTGCCTCAACCGCATCCAAATCCCGATATCGCGATACCCCACGACCGAGTTGCTATTTGCTCTGCATCGCCGGCATCCCCACGGCCGCACGTAAGGCGGAGGTGGCGATAGCCTCGGAAGCATACGGCAGGGGTGGATCCACCGAACAGCGCGGTGCGACAACGACAATGGCCTCTCACATGGCGGCTGCGGCTCACGGTGGCGGTGGCTACAACAACCCGCCGCCGTCGACCCTCGCGGCCCAGCTCGTCGAGAACATTGCTGTATCGTCGGTGCATTCCTCACGCTCAGACGAGACCCAGGAGCTGCAGAAGTTCTTCACCGTGATCGAGCGATTCAAGAACGACCCGAACTTGCTCAAAACGACAGCCGAACGGGTCGAGCATAATCACATGCTCATATACGTTTACTGCCGCGTCGCGCTGGACGGCCTTAAGTGGGATGACCCGTTTGCGGACCGAGCGCGGCTCAAGGCCGAGGCTCTCAAGACCGCCAACTTCATCCGCGTTACAATCCGGGAGACCCCCGCCGTGCTCGCCTTCGTTCCGGACGAGGGCGCCTTCTTGTTCCGCCGCAGCGAGCCACTCTGGCTATGGGTACTGCCCAAGATTCTGAAATTGCTTGGAAGTGAACGATGCATCGAGATCTCGTCCGTCATCGAGTCCCTCTGCGAGTTTATCCTCGGCACGGTGAATCGGGCCGGGTCGCTGTGGGGCGAAACAAACCCAATGATTTGCTACTTTCAGACGAGCGTGAACTGTAAGTTTGTTCACGTCTACAGATTCACAGGGCGGGTGCTAGAATTCTGTAACGCCTCAGACTGACACGCTATCGACAGCTCTCCTCAGCTATCTTTCCACTCGCTCCCCTCACGTACACTCTGCTATCTCGCTCGAGTTACCTTCGAAGACCGCTCCTTCAGACACATACTCGGGAAATGGCCCTCCGCCATTCAGAGGATGCACATATCGAGTCACCAGTGTAAAGCACGCTGCCAGACATGCCTGTGGCCTTCTAAACTTGCTCAGCACGGCTGTTTCGTCCTCCAGGACCAGTCCGGCCCTGTCGGCAGCTCTACGACAAACTGTGCCGTGGTTGGTCGATTCGCTCCAAGAATTTCATGCTATCCAGGCCAAGTGGGGCCAGGAAGGGACCCTCGAGAGCGATACTACTTCTGCGGTTCATTGCCTTCTCAAGCTGGCCACACTGCATGAAAACGTCGATATCGTGCAGGCAGGTGTCCACCACAAGATTCTCAATGTACTGGTTTTAATCTGCGGCCGGTGCTTGGATTCGACGGCGGAGCTGCTACTGCCCGACGAAAATGGTGTTGCCATAAGAAAGACATTCTGTCTCGCCATGGTTCAGATAGCTCATTCGGTTATGAGGTATAAGCCGGTCAGCAGGCTGGCTGCCTCCCAGCTGCTCAACCCTCTCGGCAATTTAACTACACATCACGAGATCCTAGGTCCTGGCACCGACTTCTCGGTACGCTGCGGCTACCCGTCCCCTCCCTAATTGATGAACAAAATGAAAAAAAAGAAGCGCACCGAAGCTGACTGATTGAGCAAGCGTTGTATGGAGCTGCTCACGAGCGCCCTGTCATGTACGGGTGTCGACAGCTTCCGCCCCGATATCACACTAGAGCAGTTCGTCGACACAGATCTCCGACAAACTGTCAGCCGGCTGAAGCTTCACTCACCAGCCCCGCTTGCTTCCCAGCCCGTGACCAAGCGGAGGAAACTCTCCTCCGAGCCGGCCATGCTGCGTTCTATCATTGCTCTCATCTGCAAGATCTTCCAAGCTGATGCCCTGGAGGATTACGAACACATACAGAACCTTGTCGTGTGAGTCTCCCCTCTCGGGAGGTCAAATATGTGATCCCTCTTCACTGACCTACCGCGTACTAGTCTCGGTTACTCTGCCCTCGAAGGAAACGACGCCTGCCGTGTGCTCGACATGATCGCTCATGTCGCGTGTGCGGCCGACAACACTCTGGCATTGGTCAGCGAGCCAATGTCCGAGTCGAATGGCCTTAGATGTTCCTTTTGCTCAGACCCAGGAAGACCTCAACGGACTCCGCAGCCTCTTGACAGGGCTGCAAAGCTGATGGCCGTGACTACTTTCACTCGCATACTTAAGCTGCCCGCCTTCCACAACTCACGCAAGCCTCGGGTTGTTGCCATGATGGCAATGAGAAGGCTAGTGGCTCATTTTCAAGAACCAGACCTTCTGGACCTCGAGAAGTCCGCTCCTGGACACTGGTGTCTCCAGTCGCTGAACAGCTCCATACGAGAGCTGCGGATTGCTGCCGGGTAAGCTATATCTCGGATAGGGATGTTTGAGGCTGCAAGCATGCTAACATGTTGTAGGAGGACACTGGCCGCCTTTTTGAGAAATCGAGAGTTGGCCACGCCTCGAATATGGGATGTCGTCAATGGCAACAAGTCAATTGCTCTGGGTGTTCTCAAAACCCTCTCAGACAAGGACGTCGCGCATCTGAACGAAACATGCATCATGGCATGGGGCCAGATGGGAATGTGAGCTAAAACACAAGCCTGTAGCCGTTTGGTCGTACGAACCATTACAACTAACAGATATGAGCAGAGTCGTCTCTGATAAGGAGCTGAATCTGGTTATTGTGCAGCTCCTAGACTTCCTAGGCCACCGCAACACCATCGTATCGGCTTTCGCCTTCAACGAGGTATGAGGAAAGGAGGATCTTTACTTGAAGCCTCAAGAAAAGTACTGACGTGGCGCGTAGGTCCTGAATCTCGCAAGTGCCCGAAACACGACTCCGCGACGGCTTTTCGAGCCGTTCTGGAAGAGTATCGCGTTCACCACGGTGAAAGACATGATCGCCAGACCACAGACCACCAGACTTACTGCAGAGATACTGCAGCTTAGCGTGGCTGAGCACTTGTTGCTTGTCCAGCAGTCCGCTCTTCCCTGGCTGGTCCTGACTAGAAAGAAGGAAGTGATACAGAAGATTGCAGAGGCGCGCGGAGAGACGGAGGTTTGGAAGCCTTGCCTGGATAATGCCAACCTGAGCTATATCCTCGCTTTGTTGCTGGTCCAGGAAGCGCCGAACATCCAGGAATTCGTTCTGTCGACGCTCCGGCACATCTCGTCCCATTTCAACAACATCACCTTCCAGGCCCTGATCGGCTCAGAAACAGTCCTCACTGTGCTGGAATTGCTCAGGGACGCTGGAGAAGCCAGCGAAGAGCGGAGGGAGCGGGTATGTCATTTCGTGTCTTTCTCTTGACTGCTAAGGCCTGCTAGTTCGTAGTGGCCATACTGACGAGAGCGTCGACAGATCCGGCTTGCGTTGCACGCCATGGCCTCTATCCTGATTGACGGCAAGCAGATGAAGGTCAAAAAGAAGACGCTTGTCGCGCGGTTTCTCCAAGCACATGCCCTCGGACTCACATCTAACCTGGCCGGGGTTATCAACGACGGGTCCTCGCGGCATTACCCTGTCCACGAGCAAAAGAGATCGATCCGAGCGATGGAGGAGATGATCAAGATGTGCACATCCCTCATCAGGATTGCTCGGCCCCAGGTAAGGAAAATCCGGCATACCATAACGAAGCGCTGTTGAGACGGAAGCTAACGTTTGTCAAGATCTCTGCCTTTTTGCTCTCTGCCCTTTGCTACAACAAGCTCAGAGCCAGTGCCTTTTCTTGCTGGGCCGCCCTTCTCATGAATGTCGACGACGAAGACGTTCATATCTTGATTGGAATGACATTCTTCATCATCGGCAACTACTGGGACACGCTTGACGATCCGACAAAGGACGTGTGCAAGAGCATGCTCGATCGACTGCTCACCAAGAAACACGGCCTACTAGAGGCCAAAATCAACGAGCTTCCGTCCTTCAGCCACCTGCCTGGTCTCGCCGATGCCGAGAGTCGCCTCAATGAGCTGAGGAAACCACTGGAAAGCCGGACGTCTTTTATGATATTCTCGAAACGGCTGGGCAACGAAATTCCTGGTGTTGTACTACAGGCGCTGACAGAGCTATCGGCATACCTGCGCAAACACCAAGCGTTCCTTCAGACCTCAGCCATTGGCGAGCAGCCGGATATGGCTGCGACGACGCTTCTGCGGGCTTTGCTGGACTGTGCGTCCAAGTACAACGGGGTCCAGCCCGAGATCGGCGGCCTTTGCGTCCAGTGCCTGGGAAGCATTGGTTGTCTCGACTCCAATAGACTTGAAGTTGTACGCGAACAACGTGAGTTTGTGATACTGCAAAATTTTGAAATGGCTAGCGAGACGGCAGACTTTGTCCTCTTCATCTTGGAGGAGGTTCTGGTCAAGGCGTTCCTTTCGACGACCGACACCGGCTTCCAGGGCTACCTGTCCTATGCTATGCAAGAGCTCCTCGACAAGACAAACTTCAAGGCTGCATGGGCAGAAAACGGAGCTGAGAGGAGCCATGAACTCGAGAAATACTTGAAACTCCCCGAGCACGTCAGGGAGGTGTTGGCGCCTTTCATGACCTCGAGATACCGCGTCAAGCCTATCGCGCAGCAGACCATCGAGTACCCCATCTTCCGCCCGAGCAAGCCGTATGCAAACTGGCTGCGATCCATCGTCACCGATCTGCTGCACAAGGGCCAGAATCCGTTCGCGGGGATCCTCTTCGAGCCTCTGCGCCGGCTCATCAGGGTCAAGGAGCTCACAGTTGCCGAGTTTCTGCTGCCCTACCTGGTTATCCACATCGTCGTGAGCGATGATAATGTCAAGGCTGACCGAGAGCGCGTGCTCAATGAGCTGCGGGACATACTTTTGCTAGAGCTCCCGGAGAATGCGTCTTACGCGGAGAGGGAAAACATGAGGCTCTATTGCGAGGTGAGCACTTATCTTCTGTCCTTTTTATCCCCTGCTGTTCGACGGCTGATAATCCCTGCCAGGCCGTCTTCCGCGTGCTTGACTACTCGACGAGGTGGCTGCAGATGCGAAAGGTTCAGATTACCAGTCAACGAGATGCACGACAACGGGAGCCGCCGGCGCCCAGCCCAGAGATCAAACGTGTGGAGCAGTTGATCAAGGCGATCCCGGCGGACTTGATTGCGCGTCGAGCCATGGACTGCGGGCAATACGCAAGGGCTCTCTTCAACTTGGAGCCGCACGCGACTAAGATGCGCAACAATCCCGAAGCGGACAAGGAGGAGACAAACCGGCTACTCTCGGAACTGCAGTATATATACACGCAGATTGACGAGCCGGACGGCCTCGAAGGCATCTCGGCCAGGCTGGGTGTCGTCGATCTCAACCAGCAAATCCTTAGCCATAGGAAGGCCGGGAGATGGTCGCAGGCACAAGCCTGGTATGAGCTCCGACTAGCGGAGGAGCCAAACAACGTCGAGGTCCAGCTTGATCTCCTGACTTGCCTCAAAGAGTCGGGCCAGTACGACGTCCTACTAAACTATGTCGAGGGTATTATCAAGACCCCGGCGACCATCAACCGCATTGCACCGTTTGCGGTAGAGGCGTCCTGGGCGACGGGCAGATGGGATACAGTACAGAAGTACTTGAGTTCCTACGCAGGCGATGTCACTGAGGTCTTCAATCTTGGCATTGGACAAGCTTTGATGTGTCTTCGAGATGGCAGACAGGACCAGTTTGCCGAGTACGTCCACCTGCTCAGAGACAAGGTCAGCGCGTCCATGTCGCACTCGACCACCTCCTCGCTGCAGGCCTGCCACGATGCCATGCTCAAAGCCCACGTGCTCACCGACCTGGAGTTCATCGCCGAGCGGAGCGCGCAGCCAGCCGACCCAGCCCAGGGGCCCGACCATCAGGAGACTTCAACAACTCTAAGCCGCCGCCTTGAGGTGATTGGTGCATACGTAAACGACAAGCAGTATCTACTGGGAATCAGGAGGGCGGCGATGGAGCTGATGCGTCCGCAGTTCGGAGACAGGGACATCTCATCGCTTTGGCTGACCGGCGCCCGGCTGGCGAGAAAGGCTGGATCGATGCACCAGTCCTTCAACGCAGTTCTCCACGCGCACCGTCTGGGCGACGACTCGGCCACCATCGACAACGCTCGGCTCTTGTGGAAAGAGGGGAACCATCGGAAAGCCATACAGGTGCTGCAGAGCGCCATCTCCAGCAACAACTTCATCGGCCACAGCCTGGGAACTTTGGTGCCCACATCCAGCAAGAGCCAAGAGACCCAGAAGCAGCTCGTGACGGCACAGGCACATCTGCTCTTGGCCAAGTGGCAGGACTCTGCAGGTCAGACACACGCCAGCGCGCTGCGCCAGCAGTACCAACTTGCCGCCAAGACGCACCTCCACTGGGAGAAGGGTCATTACTACCTCGGCCGCCACTACAAAAAGGTGCTCGAATCCGAACAGGCACTAAAGCCCATGGACCAGAGTGATGAGTTTCTGAGCGGAGATACTGCGAGGCTCGTGATCGAAAACTACATCCGGTCTCTCAACTATGGAACCAAGTACCTATTCCAGACACTCCCACGCATTCTTACCCTGTGGCTCGAGCTCGGATCCCAAGTGGACAAGCCGACGTTGGAAGGGAAGATTTCGCCCTCAAAAGAGCTGCAGCAGCGGAGAAAGATGACGCTGGAGGCCTTGCACAAGTACTTGGAACGGCACATGCAGAAGATGCCCGCGTACATATTCTACACGGCGCTGCCGCAGATGGTGGCGCGCATCGCACACCCCAACGCCGGGGTCTTCCGGGTTCTGCATGCCATCATCGTCAAGGTGGTCGAAGCCCATCCGCGCCAGGCGCTCTGGTCGCTCTTCGGCATCATGACGACGAAGACGTCGTCGGACCGGAAGGAGCGGGGCTTGGAGATCATCCGGTCGCTGCAAAAGGCTAAAAAGGTGGACGGCACCGGCTACGACCTGCGGCAGCTGATCCGCTCTGGGGAGAAGCTTGCGAACCAGCTCCTTCTTGCCTGTCAGAACGGAGACTTTCAGAGCAACCGGACGACGATGGCCAGCCTCAAGAAAGACCTGAATTTCAACCCCAAGTGCACACCCTGCCCGCTAGTTGTACCCATCGAGACGTGCCTCACACCGACACTGCCAGCGTTGACGGACAACGTACGAAGGCACGCGGCGTTCAGCCAGGACCTCGTCTCGATACAAGGGTTCATGGATGAAGTGCTTGTGCTCAGCTCGCTGGCCAAGCCCCGGAAGCTTCTGGCACAGGGCTCCGACGGGCGGATATACGGGCTGATGGTGAAGCCCAAGGACGACCTGAGGACGGACCAGCGGCTGATGGAGTTCAACGGCATGATCAACCGGTCGCTGAAGCGGGACGCGGAGAGCAGCAGACGGCAGCTGTACATTCGGACGTACGCGGTGACGCCGCTCAACGAGGAGTGCGGCATCATCGAGTGGGTGGATGGGCTTAAGACGCTGCGCGACATTCTGCTGACCATCTACCGGGCAATGGGCATCACGCCAAACTACAACGTGCTCGGGCAGATGATGAAGGATGCGACGGCCATGGAAGGGCGCAACGTGCGCATCTTCAGCCAGGACATCCTGGGCATGTTCCCGGCGGTGCTGCCGCTGTGGTTCATGTCGCAGTTCCCGAACCCGTCGGCGTGGTTTGCGGCGCGGCTCAAGTACACGCGGTCCTGCGCCGTCATGTCCATGGTGGGCACGATCCTGGGGCTGGGCGACCGGCACGGCGAGAACGTGCTGCTGCAGCAGGGGGACGGCGGCGTGTTCCACGTGGACTTCAACTGCCTGTTCGACAAGGGCCTGACGTTCGCGACGCCGGAGCGGGTGCCGTTCCGGCTGACGCACAACATGCAGGCGGCCATGGGCATGTGCGGGCACGAGGGCGCGTTCCGCAAGTGCTCGGAGCTGACGCTAAGCATCCTGCGGCAGCAGGAGGAGACGCTCATGACGATCCTCGAGGCCTTTGTGCACGACCCGACGCTGGACCTGCAGAAGGAGAAGAAGAACCGGGCCAACATGGGCGGCGGCGGCGTGCGGCTGAACCCGCGGAGCGTGGTGGAGAGCATCCGGCGCAAGGTGAGGGGCCTGCTGCCAGAGGAGAGCATCCCGCTCGGGGTCGAGGGCCAGGTGGAGGAGCTGATCAAGCAGGCCATCGACCACAAGAACCTGACGGCCATGTACATTGGGTGGTGTCCGTTCCTTTGATGCGGTGTACGGAGGGTGTGTGTATTTTCTCCTCGTTCCAGTAGTGTGTTCAGAAGTAGCGCATAGTGTTCACCCCAATCAACATTCATGAATGCTGTACTCGATAGTGCTGGGGCATGTGAGGACCGAGATGATTCTTTTGAGTGCGTTAATGTACAGGCCGCCGGTCACTCGGTGTGTAGCTAATAAGAGCAGGAACAAGAACATGAACAAAAATAAGAATAAAAATAAGAGTAAGAACAGGAGACACAAAATAGTACTTTCCATGGCAACGAACAAAGCTGTCATCGTCCATGCGTCTGGCCCTTTTTCAACTATGTAGTCCATTTTATCTTTCAATTTTATTTCATTTCATATTGTCCCCCTGTTCCTTGGTGTATCAGCTCGCCGCCGGGAGGCGTCCTAGATCGTCTTGAGCCCACACCAGCACCTGCAGGGCCAGGCGGACAGCATGGAATGGGCGGTAGAAGTGTCAGTGCGGGGACAGGTCCATTCAGAAATAGGGATGAGCATAGGTAGGAAAAGCAACATTTTTGATACAATTCCCGATGGATAAGAAAAATCTACGGCAAAAACAGTTCTAATGTTTAAAACCTGTACAGGCCGGGGGCTTTTGCGAGGGCCAGATAGGGGAGAACAAGGATTGGGATAGCGAGCGGGGCGGTTGAGAGACAGAGCTCAGAGCTGGATTGCGCTGTCGGTTTCGCATCTGGGCGGGCTGGGCTGAGCTGGGGCACTGCGCTCCTACCTGACCAACAAACACACACCAAAAAAAAAAAGTGCGCGTGTTTGCGCGTCAGCTCCGCGTCTAGTCCTTGGCGCACCCAACCCTTCTTCAGCATCTTCACCCTATTTGATCTCGGTCGGCGCAAGAATATCGACGGTTTGATCATGTCGTCGTCGTATCGCATTGGTATGTTCTGCCTTCCATTCCCATCCGACTTCACATGCCGTCGCCTTCATGTTTCTATTCTTTTTTGTGCTGGCCGCCTCGACGCGTTTCAGACCGCCATCAAGACGTCGTTGATCGTGACTGACATATGCCGTGGGCTTTCTTCCAGAGCTCTCGCCCAACAACCGGGCGGGATGCCAGGATACTGTCTGCAAGAAGTCCGGGGACAAGATCAAAAAGGGCGAGCTCAGGTTTGGCACCTGGGTCACTGTTGCCAACACTGATCATGCCAGCTGGAAGTACAAGCATTGGTACGCAAACACATATGCACGCACATATGCTCATCCTCCTGCTACAATGAATAAGAAAAAGTATATCTAACATGGCCCCGTAACTTCAACTCGGCACTCGCACAGGGGCTGCGTCTCTGGCTATCAGATTGAGCACGTCCGGGAGTCGATTGATCAGGACGGATCGTATAACTGGGAGCTGATTGATGGCTACGACGAGCTGAAGTGAGCTTGCCTTCATTCCTTCGCCTTGAACGGGCTTGTGCTCACATTGCAACTGCGCAGTGATCACCCTGACATCCAAGCCAAGATCCGCCGCGTCGTCGAGCAGGGCCATATCGACCCTGAGGACTTCAATGGCGTAAGAGGGCAATCTCTTCACCTCAACGCCCCGGTATCAGAGTAAGATTGACTAATATTTGGCTATGACAGGATCCCGAGTTCAACGTGCTTGGATCTCGCGGCATCCGTGGCCGCAAGAAGGTTCAGAAGCTCAAGGAGGCCGTCGAGGACGAGGAGGCCGATGAGGACGAGGTATTTATAACTCCACCTTCCACTGGCCACCCCGTCTCGGTGATCAAACCGACTTGCTCACATCCTTGATGTTCCAAGGAGGCTGCCCCTGCGAAGAAAGCACCTGCCAAGCGGGGTCGCAAGAAGGCTGCGGTTGCTGTTGAGGACGACGAGGAGGAGTCCAAGCCGGCCAAGAAGCAGGCTCGTGGTTCTCGCAAGTCCAACGTCTCGGCTGCGGCCGAAGATGACGAAGAGGATGCCAAGCCAGCCAAAAAGAAGGCCACTGCCTCTCGCAAGTCTAACGCTTCGGCTGCTGCTGCTTCCACTGACGACGACGAGGTTGCCAAGCCTGTCAAGAAGCAGGCTCGCGGCCCTCGCAAGTCCAAAGCCTCGGCCGCTGCCAAGGACACGGACGAGGAGGAGGCCGCGCCCGCCGCTGAGGCCAAGACCTCGAAGAGGAAGCGAGGTGCTGCGGCCAAGAAGGAGCCCGAGAGTGAGGCTGAGCAGGAGGAGGAGGAGAAGCCGGCTCCGGCAGCCAAGCGCCCGCGTGGCCGACCCAAGAAGTCGGAGGCTGCTGCCAAACCGGCCGAGGTCGAGGCCGATGAGCCCGAGCCGGCCCCGAAGCGTGGCCGCAAGGCCAAAGCCACTGCCGTCGCTCCGGAGCCCAAGTCGGACGAGGCCGAGGAATCCGAGCCCAAGGTGGAAGCCCCCAAGCGCGGACGCAAGGCCAAGGCTGCTGCTGCCCCCGCCGCCGCCGCCCCCAAGCGTGCCGGCCGTCCCAGGAAGAGGTATGCCGCCCCTGCTGATTAGCCGTGGTGCCATGCACGATAATCAGATGATCTGACTCTGTCGAATTCTGTAGCACTTGAGTCCCGAGACCCTTGCCTGCCGCACTAGGCTCAGGATATCTGGACACTGCCTTCCTCCAAGGCCAGCCTCCAAGGCCAGCTTCCTAGATGACTCACATCCCGCTCAGGGAGGATGGGCTCATGCGGTCCGATACGGAAAGGATGCTGGTCAAGGAATCTGTCTCGTGCACTATTTTTTTTGTTCGCCTCGCTGTGTTATTGACTTGGACCAATTCGAGCATGTTCTGTTTGATTTTATTGCTTCTGAGACGATACGTGACTGTTGAGGCGTCTATAACCCGAAAGAATGATGGCTTTTTGTTGTTGTTTTCATGAGACTTGTCACGTATTTACATCAGTTTTGCCCGTTTCCCATGGCTGACAGTGGTATTTCGATGAGAGGTGGTGGCGGTCAGAAGGTACTGCTCTGTATCGGTGACAGCGAACAGCGGAAGGGTGACCTTCACCTGCTGTTCTAGTTCCATGCAATTGTTGACCATGCTCTCACGATTGTCCTTTTCGAGACACTCCTCGTTGCCTAGGTGCTTCCTCGGTGCTTTCTGGGCAGCAACCTTAGCCTCCTGAACTGAACACGATGGTCACGTGAAACCTCGAGCCCCTTTGCTAGCAGCATGCAACTCTCTTAAGCATATCCTCTCATGCAGGCCGATATCAAACCAGCCAGAGTTGTCAGACGGCCGCGCTGCATTGCACTGCACCCGGCCCAATTGTGGCGGGCCTGACTGGAACAGCACCGCGCTCGGGGCATGCATGTGCAGGGCGCGTGCTGCTGCACATAGCCCCCTGACCTTGGGAGCAGGCTCGGCATTGATACGGCCCTCGCTGGCTACTGACAGGCAAAGCACATGCCGCCGCCGGCAAAAAAAGAGAAAGAAAAAAAAGGCAGTCTTGGCCGGCCTCTCTGCCGCCCAGGCGGGACTACCATCATGTTTGTGGTTGGGGGGTTGTGGTCACTCTCGTTGGGACCCCAAAAGGCATCCATCCCAACTGGCTACCTTCCCCCTACCGCCGCCGGACGCCGTGGTATCAGACCGAGACTGACAACTCAGAGGCCGTCGCCCACGTAAACCAATGGATAATGCCCGCAGCAGCCTATGAGGGAAGGGAGAGAGGGTTCCTAGTGTGAAAAAAGAGCCGAGCCAACTGGAGCGGTGGTATCCACAGGGAGGTACCTCTTTTCTTTTTTTTTTTTTTCATTCCTTTCTCCCTCCTCTCAGTCGGGTGTTATAGGTCAATGGCCCTCTCCCCCTGTCCTTGCTCACCGCGTCGTTGCTCTCCCTATCCTAGCCCCAGGCCAGTCAGGCACATACGCCCGCCCCCCCTCTCCCTGAGCGGCGGCGGTGGTGCTGCCCAAGATCCTCCCATCTCCTCCCCTCCTTCTCCCCTCACCACAACCCACCGCCCTCCCTCTCGCGACCTTCCTCTGAGAGGGCGGTGCGGGGACGGAACTGACTGGTTGGCCCGGCTGACCGTCTACCCGCCAGTGGCGTAGAGGCCCGACGGTGTCATGGGGAGGAGTGAGTGAGTCCATCCACACGCCCCCGGGTATAGTTGGGCACGAGAGAGAGCCCGAGCGAAGCGACTCGCCATCATGCTGCTCGATGACGAAGCTGTCCTTATTATTTTGCGCTGTCTGCTGGTGCCCGGAGATCCCCTGCCGGAAACACGCCCGGGCAGTGACGACCTCTTTTGTTTTCGTCCAGTCCTTTTGCTTTTGCTGCTGCTGCTGCTGCTGCTAGGCATGTCTTACCTGCCGGCCCCGCATATGTCGGCACCATCATCGCCCATGCGGGCCTAGAGAATTGCATGTTGCTGCTGCTGCTGCTGCTGCTGCTGCTGCGCATGCATGACCTGTGCCCGCGGCGGCTGTCTGGGAAGAGCTTTGTAACGTAGCGCAGCAGCAGCAGATGCCACCGAAAATGCCGCAGTGTTCGTTTCGTGGGGCTTCCTAGAGGTGGAGGAGCGAGGCGCGCGAGGATAGAATGGGAGGGGGTGATCCCTGATTTCGAGGCTGCAGAACCGACATCACGAAATGGGGGAAGAGATATGTGGCCTTGCATGTCGCCACCCAGGCCAGGGCATCATGGACGGGGCGCCATGAGTATCCATGATATCCCTCCTTTGTTTGTTTTCATCATCCTCCCTTCCCACCCCGAGCGAGCCAGTCGGCGTTGATGCTGGTGTGGGGGATGGACAGCAGACCACTGGGCACCAGCATGACCCAGGAGAGGGCGAGGGGGGGCGAAAGGAAGAGAAAAACAAAACAAAGCAGAAAAAGAGGACAGATGGCAGCGGCAGAGAGACAGATAGAAGCCCAATGCGGAGCCCACGCGCCTCGGCTCCCCAAGAGGCAGGTCGGCCTGGGGTCATCTAACCTAGTCCTATAGCAAAGCAAGCTGGCAGCGCAGTGACTCACGGACGACGGATGGGCGCCCGTCACCCACGAGGTAAAGAAACAAATAAAATAAAAACAAATAAAAACACACAGGGCCGTGCACTCCTGCGGCTGCTCGGACTCTGTCGCCGGATAAGGGTTGACGATGACGGTGCGGGTTGCAAAGCGAGGCCAACTGGCGCGGCTTGATGATCGACGGACAAGGCTTTCGTGAGACGGCGAGAAGATGGACGATCGTCGCCCGCCAGGCTGTCGACCCGCTGTTTTTTGTTTTTGTTTTTTTGTCTCTGATCCCGGGTGTTTTACCAGCCAGTCATCTATCAACCCATCCAGACGGGCATGGAGGATCTGTGAGGCCTTCGTTTGGGGTGGCTGTCGTGCCTCTGCCCTGTGCTTCCTCCAACTTTGGCGCTAGCACAGGGCTCAAGCAAAAAAAACGGCCGTGTATCCTGGGCGCAATTGCCTGCCCGATCTAGTTTTATCAGCCTAGCTACTCGCCATTTCAATCGTGTGTTTATTTTCTTCCTGATAACGCAACGTATTCAGGGAATGAAGTAATTGCTGGGTATCCATAGTCTCGACAAAACCAACCTCTTGGCCTAGAAATGGCCATCGTGGCCTCGGCATTTGACCCAGAACTGGGCTCAGCTATTAGACCAAGCCTCAGGGGCTGCCAGGTCGTCAGGTATCAACGACAAGACACATATTTAGCCGACAGCGGGGTAGTGAGAGAGTAATAAAAAAAAACAGGACGCGGGTCGACGGCCAAAGCCTGTGGCTATATTTGAAGCAGGACGTGTTTGCTATAGGGCTAACGGATGCGAGGTTGGCAGAGAAGCCGAAAGAAGGAATCGCCTCACTGGAAATGCTTGCCTCAATCCTCGCCCGCTCGGCAGAGTTGGTAATTAGTATACTAAATACTAAGGATTTGTTAGCGAAAGCAATTGTGCTTTACGATAAAAACTGCAATAATTAAGCTTCCAATCCATGAAATTCTACCAAATTTGCAAATTAAAAACTTCAGATTTTCCCGCGTATAACGTATAATTTTTAATTTTTATACATTAAATACTTAAATTATAATTAAATGTGCAAATTTGTTCGTCCTTAATATACTAAAATACTATTAGTATTAGTATCAACACGATACTAAACGTGAATATCTTTTACATAAATTATATAGAAATACAACAAATATATCGGTATAAACCTTAAATTTTCGCGCATTTAATGATGCTGTTTTTGTAAAAATAGTTAAATTCTGTAAAATGATATAAGCTGGAAAAGGCATACTAATCGCATACTAAATACTAAACTAATCGTACTAATTACCAACTCTGCTACTCGGTGTGGCCGGATCCGCCCGCCTGCCGCGCCCGCAGAATGTGGACGGGCAATGTAACCGCTCCTGACTCGAGAAGAGGCCGGAGTCCAAGCTGGGCCCTTCCCACCTTGGCTTTTTCCCACCTTGTCTTTTCCCACCTTGGCCTGGTCCTGTCGTTGACGGATGGTTGGGCAGCTGGGAAGAAAGAAGGCGGCGGTTGCCACACGGCTGCTGCTTGAACGAGAGAGGATCGACATTTCGTAAATTTGGCTCTCTTCTCGCACCCAAATCCTGTCCGGGGCTGACCATCCGAGTGGGGGGAGGCAAAGGCGATACGGCTCGGCCTCTGCGTTGCCTCGTTTTCGGGACACATTTTCCCTGTTTGTAGACGGGAAGGGTTACATAGTCCTTCCGCCCGGAAATGGGTTCCCTCAGGGCAAGAACAGAAAGGAACGGGCGTCGATGGAAGAAAAGCGATCGACATGGATGGCCTGGGAAAGCATCGGTTGGGCATCAAGAGGAGGCGCCGAGGGCGACATGACGGATCGATCATGGATATGGATCAATCAATCACGGATTGATTAAATTGCCCGCTGGTAGCCGTTCAGGCCGAGCCCATGTGCCTATGCACCCACCTCACAGCCAGCCTGGGCGGGAGCGCGGACGGCTCGAGCCTTGCGGGGAGAGTCTTTCAATCACAGTCACCCAGGCGGGAGGCGAAGCATCAATGCTTACTGCGCTGCACTGCGCTGCACTCCAATGCTGTCATGCCACCAACTGTCAAGCCTGGTGGCTTTTCTGCCACACTAACCCCAGCCATGGGTGCCCCCGGCAGACATCCAACCCAGCAGGCAAACCCAGCAGGCAACCGGTCGGTACCCAATTGCGGAGAATCGGCTGGGGATTCCGCAGCAGCGACCGACGGCAGGAACGCAAAGAGAAAGAAGAAGAAGAATGTCGCACAGGGAACGGACAAACCGAACCTGCCCTTGTCTTTCGGCCCAATGCTTTCCCAGACGGATCCTCAATCGAACCAAGACCGTGGGCCAGCGGCTAGTCGACCACTCAATCGCCCAGTCGTCCGTGGAATATTCTCGTCGCGTGCCCAGCTCCTCGGCCACTGCCTTTACAGAATTACTAGTCGAGGCACACAGCCGGCTTTTTTTGGGGACCCTTTCACCCTTTCTAGGGTCTGTCTGGTCTTTCAGGGTCTCGACGTGGTTCGTGTGGGAGAAGAAAAAAGGGCTCGGGCAGTTCGATTGGGCAGCCAACCACTGGCCAACGTCATCAAGACGGAATGCCGCCCAGCCCAGGAACAGACAGGGAAGCCACGATCCAGGCTCGCTCCATGCTCGCAGACCCCGCAGTCAGGAGAGACATGAGGTCCATGTCAAGGTCCATGAACGGCGGGTCCATGTTTTCAAGCTCGGGGTTGATGCCAAACAAATAAAGAGGTATTTTTACTCTGCTATTGTCCATGCAGAGCCTCAAACAGCAGCACTCGTCTCCCACCCAGGTACACCACTGTACATGACAGTAGTAATCGCCCTCAGGCATCTTGAGAAAATCCAGCGATGCAACAAGGACCCGCCACCGTTTACCGTGTAGCACCTGTCCTACCCTGACGACGACGGCACGGACACCAGTTCTGTTCCTCGCAGCGTCTGGGCCTCGTCGCGTTTTGCCTGCAAGGAACTGCAGGGAGCATCCCTCCCACCAACAGGTACTGTCCCTCTGTACCTATCTTTGCATTATTTGCTCCCTTTTTTTCATCTTTTTTATCTGCATCTCGTCCGCCGTCAATCTGCATGCTCTCTCTCCCCCCCTCTCTCTCTGCGCTTGGCCCGCCCATTAAATCCGTCGTCTTGGCTTAGGTTCCCGCTCCGCAGGCTGACTGACTGACGTTCCGGGTGACGGCAGGGCTTGGATTTGCCCCGGCTGCCTGCATTTAATGGCCGCTGTCCTACCTCGCACAGAATAATCCCATCGTGTCTGGGTGCTTTGCTTACCCCTCCCCGTTCCGGCCACTCCTGCCAACCAAGACTGCCCGACGAGGCACGCAAAAGCAACAACCAGCAGACGCCAAGCCGAACCATTCTGCCCAACCCAACGCCTGCAGCAGGAGCGCGACTACTGCCTAGGCCAATACCTAAAGCAACAAGCCATCCTCGAGCCACCGCACCAGCCCCGGCTGTGATCAAGGACGGTGGGCCGCATGCAGCTGCTGACGGGTCCAGGGGCTCCCAGAGGTGTACCGCTCTAGCCCCCGTGTCCATGTCGGTCGGTTAGCGTACTTGGTAAAGGTGCCAGAGACCAAAAAAAGGACCAGGCCAAAAAAAAAAAAGTGCCAGAAACAACACACAGACCATCGCTTCTGCGCATCACGCAAGGCTCGGCCGCCCAACAGAAGGAACCCCGCCCGCCCCTCGTTCAATCCCACGCTCTGACTGCGTGCCGGCACAGGTGAGAATTTATCCCTTGTAAACCGCCTGTCCCCCCCCTTGCTGTTTTGTTTCGTTTCTTTCCTTTCCTTTTTTTCTTTTATTTTTTTCCCCCCTCGCTACAACGTCGCCTCCTAACCCACCTTGCAGTTTCCCCTTTCTTCCAGTGCAGATCCCCTCCCTTGCGGCATCTTGCAGCAGGGAGATTGGTCGACAACCATACCAGCCGTCCTCAGCAGCGCCCTCACTGTATCCGTCGTCATGGCGGAACGCTACAGATACGGCGTGCCACGGCCACGCTCGCCGCCTGCGTACAACCCCGCCCGAGCGACTGCAGAGAGTTTCACCTCGCTTTACCCCAGCGACCTGCCTCCCGTCGCCGCGCCGCCTTTTTACGACATGAACCTGATGATCCCCCGCGGCCAGGCCGCCGACTACCGTGCCCAGCCTTCACCTCACGCGACCACCCACACAACCTACGCCGTCGTCTCCAACGATCCCCAGCCGACGAGGCCTTCTGCCTCCACCCTCAGGGCCCCCAGCACCGGTCGTCACCGCCGCTCCGCAACCATCGACTCGCACCAGCCCCCAATCATCGTCACCACCATGCCTTCGTCCGGCCGCCCTGCCGCCCCTGGCTCGCACTCGTCATACGGCTCCAACATGTCGTCTAATATCTCTGGCGCCCGCACCGCCAGCCCCACCCGAGACACCTTCCGCGCCGGCGACAGCTACCGCGCCAGCGACGACGGTGCCTACTACGCCCAACCCGCTTCCTCGATACGCCAGCGCAGCCGCCAGCGCCACTCGTACGGCGGCCAGCAGGGGCTGCAGCCTTTCAGCGCCGCCCTGGACAACGAAGAGTACAAGCGTCTCCGCGACAGACATGCGGGCGAGGAGCGCTACGGAACCCCCTCGCGCCAGGACTCGCTTCGCAGGCGCCCATTGTCTGTCTACGCCAACATGCCAGCCAACGGCGGCGGCGCCCCCATTGACTACGAGGGCACCGACGTCGAGTACACGAACCCGAGCGATCTAGTCAAGTACGACCTCGAGCACTCGCGGCCCCTGCACCGCCGTCGCGAGAGCATGGATCGTTATCAGCGTCCCACCGTCAGCGTCGCAGCCGACATTGGCGCCCCGCGCGGCCGCGGTCCACCCCCGACCACCTGGGGTCTGGACAAGCTGAACCAGGGCATCACCGCCGGCGTCTACGACCAGCCTCCAGTCCGTATGCCTGCGCCCCATGCTATCGACACTACTCTTGCCATCCGCCAGGGCGGCCTCCTCGAGCCTCCAGACAGTCCCGCGAAGCGAATCAGGGGCACCTCGCGCACCCGACCCGTCTCGCTGTACCAGGAGAGAGATGCGAGCAGAGACCGCGCTCGCGATGACTATTACCGGAGCCAGAAAGAGGAGCTTATCCAGAAGGAGCTCAAGGACCGGGAGCGTGAAGTCGATATGAGTGCCCAGCGCGGCAGCTTCGCTCCCGCGGTTGAGGGTAAACCTGCCGAGCCTGCTCGCCGCGAGCCTGATCGCCGTGAGCCCGACCGCCGCGAGCCTGATCGGGATCGTGACCGAGATCGAGACCGGGACAGGGAGCGGGAGCGAGAGCGGGATCGCGAGCGTGAGAGGGATCGCGAGCGTGAGCGGGAGCGTGAGCGTGAGCGTGAGCCGCACGACGATCACCGACGGGAACGCCGAGAGCGCCGCAAGGAGTACCACGAGACTGACCGCAAGTGGACCTCGGACGAGGACGTCGGCCGAGTCATCGCCCGGGAGGAGACTCGCCGTCCCGAACCCGAGGCCGCCAAGCCGCGGCGCGAGAGCCCACGGGGAGATTCACAGGCACAGGCGCCATCTGCGCACGTGCCACGCAAGGAGTCGCCTGATGCTGTTGCCAAGATCACAAAGGAGAAGAAGAGCGAGGCCCCAGAGGACGCCGAACGCGAGCCACGGCGTGTTCGCGACAAGGTGGCCGCCGGCCTGAGCCTTGCGGCTGGCGCCATCGGCCTGGGTTCCGCCATGAAGGACAAGGACGAGAAGGCTGAGAGGTCGAACAAAGTCGACAAGGCGGAACGGCCTGAGAAGTCTGAAAAGGATGACCGCGAGTCTCCCAGGCGGCGCATCGATGAGCCCACCAAGAAGCGCGAGGCATCGCGCGAGAGGTTGCCCGTCAAAGACATGAGTGACAAACAAGCCTATGTCCAGGATGAGTGGGAGATTATCGACCCTCCCTCGGACAACAGCAGGAAACCGAGCCCCGAATCAGAAACCAGACGGGAGATGCGTGGGCGTGATCGGCGCGATGTCGAAGATAGGCAGCACGGCGGCGACCTGACAGATCGCGGTGTGATTGTTGAGAAGCCCGCCGAAGCCCGCGCTGCGCCCGCCGAGGCTCGCCCTGTGGAGCGGCAGACCGACAGGCACGCCGGCACGGCGGAACCCACGGAGAAGGACAGGCCGCCGCTCACACAGGGCTCGCCGTCGGACGACAGCAAGCCTGTTGTGCGCCGATTCCGCCGACCGCGGGACTCTGGGTCTGGGTCGTTCAGGCCATCGGATCCAGCCGACCTGGAGGCCGTCAAGGCTCAGCTTGCGGCCAGAGAGGCCAGTAACAGGGGCGGTGAAGCACCAAGGCCTACCGTCAGGGAGCCATCCGTCGAGCGTCGGCGGGCAACTCCGCCTCAAGCCGTCGATGCTTCTGCTTCCCGCCGTGGCGACGGCTCGTCCCCTTCGCGCAGATCTGGCAGCTTGGAGGACGGCCGCCGGGGCCGCGAGCTGGTTCCTCCCGCCCATGACGACAAGCAAGTCCGGGTCGTGTCCCCACCGCGCGACAAGGACGAGAAGAGGCCGCTCAAAAGCATTCTCAAGCCAAGCTCCAAGTTCCCAGAGCCCAACGACTTTGTGCGAGAAGGCGTGGCACCGCACAAAGACGACAAGACCAAGAAGGACGTCCCGCCTGGTGCTCGCTGGACCAAGATCAACCGCAAGCTCGTCAACCCAGAGGCCCTTACCATTGGTAAAGAGCGCTTCGAGGTCCGAGACGACTTTGTCATTGTCCTCCGTGTGCTCAGCCGCGAGGAGATCCAGGCGTACACGACCGCCACTGCCCAGCTGCGAGGTATGCTCACCCAGTCCATAACCATTCGTAAAGCTTTCTCACAAAGAAACACATGGCTAATATTGATATCGGCGTTTAGAAATGAGACGGAAAGAGTACGAGAAGTCACGTGATAGGGATGATGAAGGCCGTGACCGCGATCGGGACAGAGATCGGGACCGTGACCGGGACCGGCCCTCGACCCGGGATGATGACAAGAAGAAGCACCGGTCCCGGAAAGATAAGGACGACGATGACGACCGCGATGCTGACCGCAGCACGCGGGACGGCGGGGATCGGCCCCGAACACGGGATCGGCCCCAGACCCGGGACCGTGAGCGGGATCGAGACCGGGACCGCGACGACGATCGGGAGCGTGATCGAGATCGGGATCGACGAGACCGGGACCGGGACCGAGAAAAGGGCAAGGATAAAGATCGAGAGCGGGAGCGAGAGCGAGATCGGGATGATGACAGGTACAGGTCCAAGGACGACCGTGACCATCACCACCACCGATCCCGCGACGACACGGCCTAAGCGTGCTTGGGGTCGGGATACATACGTTTTTATCTTTTTTCTTCTTTCCAAGGTTGCCCATCTGGCTCCCTTGCATATCTCGCTCATGACGCTGACGACCATTTCATGACATTTCCAATGTTTGACGACGACCATGTAACAGGCGTCTTATTTGAGGAGTCGAAAAGCGGCAAGGGGAGCCCGTTTTGGATATCCTTTAGTGGCTTTATATACCGTCGAGAAAGCTTTGCGACTGTTCTTCTTTTTAAGACAGATGTTTTAACCTTTATGCCTTTTTTCCCCAGAAAAACTTGATCGTCGAACCCTGCATGCGAATGCTAGCCGCCTAACCCAGTGCCTTGGGTGACCCTTGGTTAGTTAGGCACACGCCAGTGGCGGCGGGTCGTCCCGGCGGTTATTAGACAGGAGCCGTGATCAACGGTTTCAAGCAACAACGTTGAAAGTCGCCCCCCGGAGGAACGTGGGCTCGCACGTGTCACCCAACCCATGTGACTTTGTCCAAGGGCCGGCTCCCTGTCCGGGCAGGACAGGCAAGACACCTGCTCCGAGATTCGACATGGCATCCTACGCAAAACATTGCTGCCCAGCTCGATCTTTTTTTTTATTTATTTTATTTTTTCTCGCCTCGTCCTTTCTTTCCGCTTGCTTTTGGCTTTTATGTCCCACTCCCCGTCCTGCGCCGCCGCCACCGCCGCCGCCGCCGCACCATGTCCGAATGTCTGAATGTCCGACGAGGTTCAGGAGGGTGTGGGAGGGGGGGGGATCTGAGTCGGCGTTAGAAGAAGAGAGAAGAGGGAAGTGCGCTTAAATGAGTTGGGATGGTGGGTGGCGGTATGTACACACAACACAATTCCCGCGGCCTCTCTAGCCAACGAAAGAAACATCAGATTTGTCCCGCGAGGTGGGACGTGCGTGACATCAAATATGAAAAAAAAAAAAAAAATGAAAAAAAAAAAAAAGATGCGGCCGAGGGAGCCTAGACGAGAACGACGGGGGCGTGACGGCTGAGCCCAAACTCGGGCGTATTGGAAAGTATGGACAGTGCGGCTGACAATCTGCACTCGTGCTGTTTTTTGTTCTTCTAGCTTCGCTCTCAAGATTCTTGCCCTTTTAGGCCTGTTTGTCGGTTACTCCTTCTGCTCCCTGCTGAAGCATCACTTGGTAGAAAGAGTCAGCCACTGTCAAGCCCCCTCACCCATCGTCGAGGAGCCCCCGGCAATAGTCATCCATCGGGTTAGGCCGTCGCGAGCCCCTCCCTCCCCCGTAGCCTCAGGACAATTCTAGGCCCTCCCCATTCCCTTCCCTCGGGCTGAGCTCCTTCTTTGTCGGGGCAAAACGGGCCCAAAACAGAGAGGAGAAAAAGAAAAGAAAATGCCCCGTGGTTCTAGGAAATAGTGTGTGTGTGTGTGTGTGTGTGTGTGTGTGTGGTGGGTGGGTGGGT